AACCCTATGAAAAAGTTACGAACATTGGTTAAAAATTGTAAATTTCACTCAAAAACCTTTAGGAAAACACCTAGGTGCTTTTAGGCCCTGGCCTTTACTTTTATTTTTCAATAAAAACATAAGGAAAAAATAGTCCCCCCTAAGAAAAAAAACCTTATGTACTTTTGCGACACTTTATGTAGAGCCCCAACCGTACTTGGAATATAATTTTTATAATTACATGTAGGCTTTACCAACCAAAGTACTCCACCTCCTGAGTATCCCGAAACTCTTGTCTTAATCGATTCTTAAAATGATATTATTTATGATTATAATATGACATTAGCTTTGATTACAAATAGACATTAGCTTTAACAATAAAAAAGATATTAGCTATGACTATTAAATGATCTATGATTATTAAAATGATATTAACTTTACATTAAAATATGAAGTATTATTATTTTATTAGAAAAGATAATCATACTTTAATTATGGGTAGTGCTCTTCTAAATTCAGTTTTAATACCATCCCCACCATATTACAGCCGTTCTTTGGAGGCAGTCTCTTAGACCATCACATCCCTTTCCCTTATTCCCTCAAATGTGATGGGGTAGTGCGGTTCAACTTGTTGCAACTTTGAGCCTTGACCCAACCCTATGACAGGAGTCATATTTTTTTCAGTTCTTGACCATACAGAACCAATCCCAACCTTAAGATGGACATCATTTGTCTAAAAAATGAACCATAAGTTCTAATTTTTAGTGGAAATTGACTTTTAGAATGCTTTTTAATGAAATTTAATTAGAGATTATCTTAAGATTTAACAAAAGTTTTATAATCATTGAATCATTATTGTAAGAAGATTCATTTATTACTTTTTGGTAAGACTCCATATGTTTTTAATTTAAATACTTTTTTTCCAATGATTCATTATTGATTGATTAATTACATTTGAAATTTGATTTTAGACATTATTTATTTTATTTTCCTAGATATTGCATGATAATTTATTTCAGTTAGATCAACCTATTGAATAATGCGATTTAAAAATAACATATTAATGATTAAACTTTTCCTTTATTAAAAAAACTGTATCTTTTTTGTAATATAAAAGTCACGATTAATTTCTTAAAAATTGATAATTAAAAATGAAAAATTTTTTGGCAATTGCATTACTTATCCTTTGTATCACAGCTAAAAAGCATCACAAACCAGCAACAGGAGAAGAGGTATAAACAAATCCAATGAGATAATGTCTTTATGATAAATGTGGGGATCATGCAATTAACTGCATGTAAGATGATGCTTGTAATGAAACATTCGATATTTGTATTAAAACTCACGGACCTGATATGAAAATCGACCTAGTAATTATTATTATAATATTCTTAGTTTGTTGAATGTACTGCAAATAATAAAGTTGCATCTGCATTTGTTGATTGTATGAAAACCAATTGCCTTAGTTTCGCACCAATAATGAGATTTTTTAACAAGAGAAAATGAACATTGAGATGATTTTATTAAAACACATTCAAAAAACATCTAATTTTGTTAAATATACTTCTCATTTTTTTTGGACCAAACATACACAAGTGTTAAACAATTATTAATTATATACATATATCAAACCTCAAATATCAAATATTCAGGCAGTCTAGGTATCATCTTAAAATTAGGGACATTTCTCCTTAATTTTTCGCAGCTATTGACTTAAAGTTTTAGTTTAAGACTTGAATTTTATGATTGTTTTTACGTATTTCCTTAGATATGCTAATTCTCTAATTTCTTAAATTCATCAACTATTTGCTTTTTTTAATAATTTCTTTAGCAGATTCTGAGCAATAATTTTATAAACAAAAAGACAGATGAATTAAAAGTATTATCAAGACTACCCAAGATTAAACTTCTTTCAAAAGTTTTATAAAATTCATTTATGAAAAAAGATTAATACGACTATATCAGTGGTGAAATGATCTACAAGAAATAAGAGTTTCTTTGGATTCAGATTTGGTGCACCATAATTAATTATCAAGTATTTAATAAATAATCTAAGTATTGAAAAAAACAAAACTATTTACTACAAAGTATTAGCCTTAGTCTCTATCCGAACAAGTAATCATAGACCCATTTAAGAAGTCTTCTGATTCCTACTTTATTCTATTTTTGATGGATTTATGGCACTTCTATTCGCTGGAGACTAACTAAGAAGAGACCAAGTAGGGTTTAATGTGTTATAATAATACTTCCCTGCCAATTGTAGCTATCAGATATTTGGTATGATACTTCCCTAAGCATGTTCTTCAATCCTATTCTTTCTACTATTACTTTCTATTTGCAATCAAAGGTTTCAAAACCTTCACCCTCATTAATGGCTTTAGCCCACAGTAGTTAACCAATTGCCATAGTAAATTGTGTAGCTCGCCCTCTATATTCTTGTGAAGTGATTGAATAAGGTCACAGAATAATAGTCCAGATGGATCCCATAAAACATATTATATGAAGAATTCAATGTCTGATTCGCCATATGAGCTATATTGAAAAATCCTTCAAATGAAAATTAATAGTTTACTCCTAAAGATGATGGAAATTTCCTTAAATTGTTCCTAAAATAACGAGACGCTTTTTGGAAGTTTTTTTATAAAAAGTTTTTATTGATTGATTTATTTTAGGAATATCAAAATCATTCAAATCATCGGTATAGCAATTTGTATTATTTAAATAATATAAATACAAGAAATGTGGATGCAATTAATAATTCAATAATCAGTTGATTCATTATAATTTAAACATTTTTCTTAATCTCTTTACCAAAAATTAAATGTATAGATTGATTAGATAAAAATGAATAAGGAAACAAGATTTTTCACATTGTTCGCAATTTTAGGTTTCCTGGATTCTCAAAAATCCTAAAATACATTCACATATCATGTTTAGCAACAATTTTTAGAATAAATCCAAGTTAGACAACTTTTATCACTATTTACAATTTATACAAATAAATTATTGTTCTTCAAAAATCGATATTAATCCAATGCTGGTCATATTATTAAAATTCTCCATCAATTTCGATAAAACAAATTTAATAATCTCATGTCTTGGAAATTTTGTTCAAATTTCGATATTGATCAGTATTGCATGAAGTAGAGTTATCCGGAGTAATTTACAAATCAAATATAATTAATTACATTTTGAATAAATAATTAACCAGTACTATTATATCCTTCTCCATATTTAAAATTAGTTTCTATTTTTATTGTTAATTGCCACAATAGCAAAGATATGATTAATCAATACAAATTAAACATTTAATATCACATTTGTAACATTCTCCTAATTAGCCATCATTAGTAATATCCAAATAAACTCTTATAAATATTATAATGAAATGTTAGTTTGAGATTAATAATATAAGTCAGATAATAGATTCCTGTATCTCAATAAAGAAATGGCATTTAAGAATTAATTTTCAAAAAATGATGAATTATGATAATGAAAATTTTATGTAAATATAAAGTGGCTTTGATAAAAAATGCTATATTAGAATTGAAGTAAAAAATTAATGATTATGTTTTTAGAACAAGGTTGATATTTTTAGGAGAGTTTTTCAACACTGTTTTCGAAACTAATAATTTGAAGAAGAATGCTGAAGATTTTTCAGATAAAAACAGTAGGGGAACATATGTAAAGAGACAATTATCTGAAGAATTAGAAATCATGATTATTTGTGGATTACAAGAAAATAGCTGTAGGTAAAATTTTTAATGGTGCTTTGCCAATTAATAATGGAAAAATAATAGGTTAATATATTCCATTAGGAATTAATCATTATTTTGAATCCAATATATTTGGAATTGGTAAAGATCATTGTATTTTTGATTCTAAATATGGAAGATACGGTCTTGGTCTTGGAATTTGCAATATATTATATTTCCTTTATATTCTTAAAGAACAGATTTTTATACAGTAACTAAAGGTGAAAGTGATAATAAAGTATAAATCATAACAAAAATCAATATTAATATTTTAGCAGTTATTCGGTTTTTTATCTTCTTTCCATTATCATGCTGTTTATTTTTGCTATATTCTTTTAGATATCATCTTCTTGTGAAAGCCTAATGAACTCATGTGATTTCGCTGATTATTGAGATTATTCTGACATCGTAGACGAGGTTGAACTTTTAATTGGACTAACATTCCTTTTAGGTAATAATCTATTTATTCTATTCTTGATATCACTTAATTGTTATCTCATTTCTTAACAAAACTAAGCATTTTCAGATTACATCTTTACGTTAATTATTTTATAACTAAATGTAAATAAAGAAATCAGCTTTGAAGATTCTTTGAGGCAATCTCAATTACCTTAACAATAGAAATAGAATAAAAAGAAAAATGACAAAATAGACAAATAAGTTAAATTCACAGGTAAGGTTCGGATTAAACATAGACGAGGAATTAAAATTATTGAAATGCTCACTCCTTAAGTTAAATAATAGCAATAAGCTATTAGAATTGCGAATGGTAAATTAGATTTTCTCTTTGACAGCTCTAGAGATGTTAACTTAGTCAAACCTTATCAAAAGATGGAAATGAAAATATGTATTCCAAAGATAATATCACAAAGAGAAGAAAACTGAAAATAATCTTGATGTAGTTTAAAAGCATTGAAACATTTATGTCGCATTATCAATTTGATATTAATAATAAGCTTATGAAGGAAAATTATTTAAAAACCCATATTAGATTAGCATATCTATTGAAAAAGGATATATAAGAAGATAAGTAGGAGATTATATTTTTGCTACTAGAGGACTGGTTTAATCGAATAATTATAAAGGATATATGAGCAAGCAGATTTATTTGATTCTTTATTTGAATTAGCAGACACATAGACTCCTGATGTAGAAAAATCAGAATATGTTGGCTTTTTTGAGTTACTCAATTAGAAATACAGGAGACAATAAGAGGAAAATACATTAAATATTTATACACTTAGAATTTGAATAGTTGTACTATGAAATAATAAANGGAATTGGTAAAGATCATTGTATTTTTGATTCTAAATATGGAAGATACGGTCTTGGTCTTGGAATTTGCAATATATTATATTTCCTTTATATTCTTAAAGAACAGATTTTTATACAGTAACTAAAGGTGAAAGTGATAATAAAGTATAAATCATAACAAAAATCAATATTAATATTTTAGCAGTTATTCGGTTTTTTATCTTCTTTCCATTATCATGCTGTTTATTTTTGCTATATTCTTTTAGATATCATCTTCTTGTGAAAGCCTAATGAACTCATGTGATTTCGCTGATTATTGAGATTATTCTGACATCGTAGACGAGGTTGAACTTTTAATTGGACTAACATTCCTTTTAGGTAATAATCTATTTATTCTATTCTTGATATCACTTAATTGTTATCTCATTTCTTAACAAAACTAAGCATTTTCAGATTACATCTTTACGTTAATTATTTTATAACTAAATGTAAATAAAGAAATCAGCTTTGAAGATTCTTTGAGGCAATCTCAATTACCTTAACAATAGAAATAGAATAAAAAGAAAAATGACAAAATAGACAAATAAGTTAAATTCACAGGTAAGGTTCGGATTAAACATAGACGAGGAATTAAAATTATTGAAATGCTCACTCCTTAAGTTAAATAATAGCAATAAGCTATTAGAATTGCGAATGGTAAATTAGATTTTCTCTTTGACAGCTCTAGAGATGTTAACTTAGTCAAACCTTATCAAAAGATGGAAATGAAAATATGTATTCCAAAGATAATATCACAAAGAGAAGAAAACTGAAAATAATCTTGATGTAGTTTAAAAGCATTGAAACATTTATGTCGCATTATCAATTTGATATTAATAATAAGCTTATGAAGGAAAATTATTTAAAAACCCATATTAGATTAGCATATCTATTGAAAAAGGATATATAAGAAGATAAGTAGGAGATTATATTTTTGCTACTAGAGGACTGGTTTAATCGAATAATTATAAAGGATATATGAGCAAGCAGATTTATTTGATTCTTTATTTGAATTAGCAGACACATAGACTCCTGATGTAGAAAAATCAGAATATGTTGGCTTTTTTGAGTTACTCAATTAGAAATACAGGAGACAATAAGAGGAAAATACATTAAATATTTATACACTTAGAATTTGAATAGTTGTACTATGAAATAATAAATAATGAAGGCTGAATATTTTTCAATTTTATAATAATCCTTCTTCATAGATATTAAAATATTCTTATTTTATTGTTTAGCAGTAATTTTAAAGTCATCAAGTTGCAAAAGTTTAGTCAGTTTTTATTGAGGACTATTACTTGCTTAAAAAATAGACTGTAAACTTATTGTGGGCTATGGAAATTTTTCATCCTAAGTCTTCATCTCTATCTCTGGAATATGCTTTTTTAATCTTCCCTTTATTCTATTAGCTTATTTTGGGTGCTGAGGTAAAGGAGTATTGACATTACTTGTTTTATTAGCTTATTCAATATTTATTAAACAATATTCAATGAAATTCTCTTTTTTTAGTGATGCATTTCTTGAGAATTTTTTGGACTTGAATTTTAAATCTTAAGAAGTGGAATGTAAAATAATTGTTGATTTGCTTTATCTCAATTACATCACAGGTTGCTTCAATGATAATAAAGCCTATTTAGCTTATTAAATCTCTGTAAAAAGCAATCGAATTTATATAAATAATTGGGAAAACTTCTCCTAGAGTTATTGCCGATCGGATAAATTTGCATTAAATAATTTTAATGTAATAATATAGGGAGTTCAAATCTCATATTAGGAAGTCAGAATACACAACTTCAGATAAGAACTTTCCCCTTGCTTTGCAAGCCTTATTAATCTATGTATTTTTTATATCATTTAACATTGCCGGAAAAATGTGTTAATAAGACATTTTTGCTAAAAGATTTCCTGGAGATGAAAACAATTTAGGAAATTTAATGTGGTTTTGTTATTAAACAGTTGCTTTTATTGGTTTAGCTTAATTACCTAAAATTGTAAATTTTATCACTTTTAGAATCATATTGATGGTAGGATCTTTAGGCCCGTAGATTTTTATTTTACCTGCCATTATGGCATCTAGTTCGAATTGTCCTGATTGGGCAATCTATTTAATTGGTATACTTTGTTCCATCTGTTCTGGAATATTATCAGTAATATTTTTATTTGGAATGCTATATTATTTATCTAACTTATCATTCGGAGACGAAAAAATATTATACTATTGTTCACTCTATTTTATGTAATTTATGCACATTTAATTTTAGTCATAGTTTTCAATGGATATTAGGTAGCTTTTTTGCAGAAATTTTTAGTAGAGCAACAATCGAGGCAATTGGCAGACTATTTTATATTTCTATTGTATAATTAGTTCTGAGTCTTCTTTTTTTAACTACTTTTGAACCCAATCATCCAAGGTTAAGAAGAACTAAAGAACAAATTCTTAGTTTGATTGAAATTAAAACAAGTTAACAACTTGATAAAGTAAATACTTTAAGATAATTAATAATCAGTGGATTATAAGTTGATAATTTGAATTAATAATAAAAAGCTAAATCAGAAGAGGAACTCAAATAAATTATGAATAATATGACAATTCAATGTTTTTCTTTAGATTCAAGCAATTTAAGTATGATAATTGAAAAAGAAGAATTTAATGTTTATTAAAATAAATCATATTTAGAATGTATAAAATATACTTCATATGAATTATGGAGAAAAAGTGCTTTATATTTATTACCTTTAGTATTAACTGTAGCTCTACTTGAAGGTTTTATTTATATTTAAATGCTCAATTATATAATGTTTTTGGCTTAGAAGGTTGATGGTGCTAGTAGCTCCTTTGAAATCGAATTTATTTTTTTTTATGTAGGTTTAGGTTATGTTCTTGGATGTTTTGCTATTGGAATTTTTGGAGATTTTAAAGATAAAATAGTTTGGATGATTTTCACTTTGACTATCTTACAATTTAGTTTTATTTTTAGTTGGGTTGTAATAAGTTATAGGACAAATATCTACTTTTTCTTTTAGTTGTTTGCTGCGATGTTAGGATTTTGTGCTTCTGGCTTAACTTCTTCAATTGTATCCTTTTTATGCTTTGAATTTTCATCCTTAATTTATATGGTAGATACAATTTATATTATTTATTCAATTTGTTTTGCAATATCATCGCTACTTTTTATATTTGGAAGTAAAGATGTATTTGAACATTTGATTGTCAATTTATCAATAATTTAAATTGTTGCTATGAGTAATTACTACTTTATCTATAAATATTATAGAATAAAAAAATTAAGTAAATAATGAATATTGATTAATATTAAATCAAATTACTCGAAAAATAACAAATTTTATTTACAATCGAAGCATGGCTTTTGATCTTCAATTTTCTATCCATTTTACATAATAAACACCTTTCCAGATATAATTACTCCTATATTTCATCCAAAAATCCATTATCCTCTAATTCTTGCAATTTTTCACCATTACCTATGTACTTGACAAAATTAAAGCCAATTATATCCATATTCCTTAAAAGCTTAAACAAATTAAACAATCTTTTTATCAGATGCAACATCGATTTTTTATTAAGCCCATGATTTTTATTCTAAAATTAAAAATGCTTTATTTTAGCTTGATTTAATTTTATTACTTTAACATGATAGAGAAGGATAATAAATTTTAATTCTGTTAACTTATTGTTTTTTCATTTTTCACCTCAACCATTACTAGATGATGAATGCTGAATAATATTAATATTAATTTATATTCATAAAATATATTAATTTATTAACTAAAAGATAGTGGCCCCAACAGTTTAATATTACTTCATTAATGTTCCTATTTCTTCGTTTTTTATTTCTAAATTTTCTTTTATTAGTAAAAGGAAATATTCTCGAGCCAAAATGATTTAATTGATATCTCTTAAATTCGTAAAATTTTTTAGTTTCATAAATGTTAATGGAGGTATAAATTTTGAATCCTACAAATAGTCCTCATTTCCCTATGAGTATTGCAAAATAAAATCAACTATCAAATTTTTTAAGGGCTAATTTATTGCAACAGTTTGTTAACAGAAATTATATTGTAAATTGGATAATTTTCTTCTAAAAAAATAAAGTGATAATTTTTATGAAATCTGATACTACAGATTGCTGTACTTTAGTCTATTAATACAGTTTTCCATCTCGATTATAGTCATGTCTGTTTATCAACAAGGTTATTTACAATGTATTGTATCGTAGACCATTTATATCAAGACACCATTAAAGCTAAAATTAAAAACCTTAAATAAAATGCATTAGTAGCACTAGTTAACTCTTGTAACTGAATCAATTAATTTAAAATGTTCTAATGAACGATTTAATTTAGGAGGAGGCATTTATAATAACTCAAGATAATCTTCAAATAATCGCACAGTTTAATGAGAAATTATCTCTTATATAAGTTTATCAATAAATTGCTTATTTTTTATTAAGATATTGTCATTAGATATCATTAAATTTAGAGAATCACTTAATTGAACTTCTTTTTTCAAAGAAAATAAATATTTTGAAGTTTCAGGTTGTTGTTTTAAAAAGTTATCAAAATCTTTTATAGTAATGAACAATTCGAATTCTGATCTAGTGCATTAAAAGCATCTAAATAATTAAATTTAATTTAGTTTAAAAATCTCTTCTTAAGTGAGTTTAACTTAATTTCTCTTCTATTAGAGGAATCAACAGCGATTTAATACATAAATAATTATCATCTCTGTTATTCAGATCTTAAGTTGGCTTTTTGTTACTCCTGCCATTATATTTTAGTTTTTCCCCATTTTTTTTAGTTATCATTGATTGCAAATTGGTTTTAGTTTATTTGGGAGTAGAAAAAGTAAAATCTTATACATCTACTGATTAATCAAGAAGTCTACCAATTTTTTATCACTTATAAATGCTAATTTATTTTTAAAATATTTTGAACATCTTAGATTGTCCCTTCAAATTATACATTTTAAGATGTTTTCAAAGAATTCATTAAATCAATTTATAAATTTAAATATCTTGCCTAAGCTAATTATACTTCTGGTGATAGTTGTTATTAATTACATTTCTTATTGTTTAATCACTTGGGAGTATTAATCTTAAAAAATCAATATTTGAATGGTTTATAAATTAAAATTTGGCTCCTTGATTAGATAAGTAGATAATGAGGTATTGTTAACTTATTATTTGCATCTTATAATTTAATTAATACTTTGTAAGGAGGAAAAGTAGGCAGCTAAATTAAAATTTTTCGATTTTGCTAAATTTTATTTTCTATTTATGCATATTCTATAAAAAAATCACATAAATGCATTATAATCAATTTTTAGATTTATATTTATTTTTCTTTTTATTATTTTTCTTATTAGATTTTTTTATTTCCTATTTAACTTCATCTTATTGAAGTTAGAGTTATTTTTCTTACTCCAATAATTCTTCAAAAGTCAATTCTTCTGGTTAATCGTTGTCCTTACTGTCTTCTTGGAATTGAAGATTTTATTATTGTTATTATAATTGTTTTTCAAATTTACTGATATTGATCATGTCTCCATTGTAATCTAATAATGTTTATTCTTTAAAATCCTAAAATAAACAAATATGAATTACTTTAGTAATAATTTACAATCTTTCAACAACATTACAATTAACAGTATTTTTGTAAAAATTGTATCCTCCAAAAAGTAAAATTTGATTGTTTTTAATATCTAAACAAGCACAAGCTCTATATTTATAGGATGGTCTATGAAATATAAAAAAGTTAATTACACTTCCTTTTAAGATCTCATACAGGTCCACTAATTATCTGTAAATGATAATAGATAATGGGTGGTTTATCCATTTTCTTCGGCAAAATAAATTAACTAGTTTTAATTCAGAGAGACATATTGGCCAAAAGCAATAGATTTTGGAATATTAGTTTTAATTTGACTCCATGTAAAAGATTTTAGATCCAATGAATACATATCTTATAAACAGGTTCTTTCAAATAAATTTATTGATTATGAGCCTCCTGCTATTATCAATTTATTGGTATTAACAAAAGCTAGATGACTATGTCTTGGAGAAGGAGGTTGTCCTTTACAATTTACAGGCGTAAAATCACATTAAGTAACTTAAAAGAAATCCAATTAATTAGAAAGTCTCATTTGTTCATCTAAACCACCAAAAATATAAAATGATAAATCAGCTATTTATGTAAATGAGAAATTAATTCTAAATTATGGCTTAAACTCATTTTTGATAGATAATATGGTTTTAGTGGGTAAATCAGCATAAAAGATTTACTATTGAGTGGCTCTATTGTACGAAATAAACCAAATACAATTTTTAGTAAAATAAGTTTGAGGATGTACAAATTAATAGTCAAATTATTCACCAGAAAATATAAAATGCTCTTCTATGTTAAATTTCTCTCTATTAATATATACTCCATGTAATTCTGTTTTTTATGAATAACAAATCAATAATCTATCATTATAAATGTGAATTGTGCTAAAAAATGAATTTTATTTAAAGTCTTGTATCATTGATGATTTTTTCCAAAGAGTTAGTTTAACATCAATATAATTTTATGGCAGCCTTTCTTCGAGCACGTTTTCATTAGAATTAAACATAATTATAATGAATAAATAATAATCGATCGGATAATATGTATTTGGTATATATTTTGAAGAATGAATATAGGCAAAACCTTAGGAGAAGGTACCTTCGGAAAGGTGAAATTGGCTACCCATCAAACAACTTAAGAAAAGGTGGCAATCAAAATTTTAGAGAAGAGCAAAATAGTGGATACTTCTGATATTGAAAGAGTAACAAGAGAAATTTAGATTTTGAAATAAATCAGACATCCAAATTTAGTGTAATTATATGAAGTATTATGTGATTATACTAAGATAATAGAAACTTAAAAATAACTGTTTTTAGTAATGGAATATATAAATGGTGGAGAATTATTTGATTACATTGTTTAAAATTAGAGACTGAGAGATGCAGAAGCAGCTAAACTTTTTGCTTAATTAATTTAAGGAATAGAGTATATGCATAAATTGAGAATTGTACATAGAGATTTAAAACCTGAGAATTTAATGCTTGAAAATAAATAGAGAATCAAGATTATTGATTTTGGACTATCTAATTTATATTAAAATGATGAATTACTAAAAACAGCATGTGGATCACCATGTTATGCTGCACCTGAAATGATAGCTGGCAAAAAATATAATGGATTAAATTCAGATATTTGGAGTGCCGGTGTTATTTTGTTTGCTATGTTAGCTGGCTATTTACCATTTGAAGAGGCAAATACAAATCTATTGTATAAAAAAATCTTAGCAGGAGAATACAAATGTCCTGGAACTATTTCATTACCTGCTAAGAATTTAATTGCTGGTATTTTATAAACTGATCCTCTAAAAAGATACACAATATCAGATATTAGACGACATCCTTGGCTAACTAATAATCACAAAAGTCCATTATAAGTTGGCATTATTGTTGGACTTCATAAGATTCCAATAGATTTCGATATATTGAAATAATTAGTTAAAATGGGTTATGCTTAAGATTACATTGAAAAGTGTGTAGAAAATAATAGACATAATCAAGTGACGACAATTTATTATTTATTATTAAAAAAGCATTTAATCAATGGAGGAAAATCTTTTGCTGGTAATTATTTTACTTTTCACCAAAATAGATATTGGATCTGATATATTCACACCTATACCAAATCCACCTAAGCATGCTTCTACTTCCGATTATGGTGCTAAATAGCTTAATAAACCTTTGCCTGTTATTAGACCAAAACTACATGATGAATCTCCAATAAATCTCAGAAGTCGTTATATTAATAATTCTCTACATTCTCAATAAGCTACAACTTTAAATTAATCACCTAAAATTCATTCTGTAGATTCTAAAAGACCACAACTCGATAATTTTAAATTAGACTTGAATTAAACTGTAAGAGATACAACTTATTCAAAAAACATCAATCCATCTGTTAGACCTAGAGGAATTAGTGATTATTATTCTAAGCAAGGAACTAATGCCTAAGAATCTACTAGATAAAAATCAGTGGATTATGGACCAAATAATTAAATCAATTTAGCCTATTATAATGATACAAGAATGAAAACATTTTACAAGGTTAAGTGATTATAGTTGTATATCCTGCTCTTATAATTATTTTTAGTTATTCATTATAACATAAATTTTATAATGTTTTCGCCTCGCTCAAATTAGTAAACACCAACCTAAAGAAAAATTGGAAGAAAAATGACAGAATCATCACACAAATCTTCAAGAAAAATTGAAATCTAAGCATTGCCTTCTGGTATCAGAATAATTATTTCTGAATCAATACTAACATAAAATCATATTTCATCCATTAGAGACAGTTTAATAAAATATCTAAAATATGAAGGTAATAATTAAGAATGTAATCTTAAGAATCTTATTAAAAATTAAGACCAGTTGATATTCAAATTATGAATGAATATTCTTTGACATAAGTTTCATTTGTTAAAGAATTTAGCGAAAAAAAAGAATTAATTGTAAATATGCTCCTACATCTCTTTTTTTACAGAAATGCAAAATATATCAAACAATGTTTTCAAGAAAAGAATTAAGCAGATGATATTAGAGAATTCTAAAGATTGTTAATTTTTCATAAGAGTGAATTAAATTCCTTAGAAGTTAGAACTCTTTTAACTTGGCTAAATGATTATATTGCTCATTATGATTTATTCTACTTTAAAGCTTTATCTGATGATGGATTAGATATTGTTTATAATGTTGTTTTGGATATTCCTACTTTTGTACCTCCATTATCATAAGCCAATTTTATACCTTAAAATGTATTTCATATAATAATATTAGAACAAATAATATGCAGATATTGATTCTGAAGAAGAAGAAAAATATGCCAAAAGAAGAAATATGAGGGAAAAAGAAAACTAAGACCTACAAGATTAACTTTAAGAAAATTAAGAAGAAGCTGCGTAACAAGAACATGAATCTAAAAAACCCAATGAATTTGAAGAGTATATTTAATAATAAGTTTTTGGAACTTCTTAATAATTATTTTAGAAGATTGAAGAGTAGAATAAAATTATTATAGATTAAGTTGAAAGAGAAAATAATAAGAAAAAAAAATGAAATTTAGAAAATTAATCTTTGTATTTGTATTATCATTAAATACCAATATTGTAATGACCAGGACGTATTAAAAGTGTTATCTTGTCTTAATTTTATGATTAATATTCTTAAACTTTAAATCCATTCTTATCAAAAAACAATAGTACTACATGGCTTAGAATAAATATCATTTTACATATTTAAAAATTTTGCTAATTCTGATATAATTAATTCTGTTGAATTGAATTCTTACTCCCAAATTAAAATATTGTTGATATCACTAACAGCAAAATACATTTCACTGTTTAAAAATAAATAATTAGAAAGGCTTCTAAAAAAAATAATTACTATTCCATAAAAGCAACCATCAATATCTTTGTTTTCTTGATTATGAGCAGCAAATTCCTACTCTAATTATATTTATCTTTAATTCAAATCCTAAATTTATCTTATTGATTAAATTCTATAAAAAAATTCAAAAATCAATTAATCACTAAAATTCGGAATCTAATCAGAGTGAAAAGTTTAAAAATTAATTTAGCAAGTAAATTTCCCAAGTATTTAATTTTTAAAAGTATCGAATTCCTTATCATTGAATCTAATTAAAAGTTCTAAATATTAAAATCCAAATGCTGAATAAAAACAATTTCCATCTCCTCTTACTTATCTAAATGAGCAACAATATTTTCGTAATTCCATTTACTATTATGTATTTTAAACTCTATAATATTGAAATAATTCTTCATCTGACTAAACTTTTCTCAAGTAAAATTAATACTCTTTCGTTGTATCTCTTTTTCTTGAGCTTTCATCATATAATTGATTAATATAGTTTTTAATTGATTAAGATCTTAATTGATCAAATTTTACATTAGTGTCTTGATTAGATCTTTACTAAGTTATAATAATATTCTTTTGAGGAATATCATTAATTTTAATTAAATCAACTTGATTAGATATATTTGAAATTGACTTTTAAGATTCTTAATTTTCTTTAATTTCACTTTTGTTCTTGCTCTACTTAATGAGAATTTTCAAGTTATTAATATCATTTTAAGTTTATTTTAGTTAAGAAATAAAGCTCTCATTTTCTAATCTTAATTAATCAAGAATCTTTGATGATACTTAAAGTAATTCAATCTTTATGTTTTATTATATCTCATTCATTTTTTATATTCCATTTCTATTTTATGAGAGAAAAATATTACACTTTTTCTGCATCGATTCTTGATTCTAAAGTCTTTAAATGATTATCAATATAAATTCTAATGTCTTTTACATTTTCTTCAATTTTACAAGATATTTAATTTTGCTATTCTAATGTAAATTAACTGAAGCTTAAATATTATAATAAATACCTAATTTATTATACTTCTTAAATTTTTGGTTTTTTTTAAATTTTTTATTAGTTTTCTTTTAATAAAATCAAATCCTTTTGAAATATCTCTTAAATTTAATTAATTTGATTCAACTTACTTGTCAATTATAAATTATTTTAATCAAATTTTAAATTTACAGAATTTAATTCTTGTTAAACTTGTTAAACAATATTTAAAATTTATTTTTCTATTATTTCATTGTTAGTATTAATCCTTTAAAATAACTATTATTCTTTCTACTATTCACATTTTTGATTTTACATTTTATTTATAGATTTCAGATAATTTTCAAATAGTTTATCAAGATCTTTATTATTATTATTATATTTTTACATTCATTGTTATTATTGTAATATTGTTCTCTAATTTTGAGTTCAATAAATTATGATAATGCAAAAGTATTTTTTTTAAATTCTTCCTTATTTTAACTTTATTTTAAAATCTAAATTTCTTATTGTTAAATTCTCAATAATTTTTCAATCTCTTGCACCTTTTCAACCGTATCTTTGGTACCCTTACTTGATATTTTATTTTTAGAGTTAGTCTTTTGTTAATTTTTTTGATTTATTTCTTGAGGAGTTTGCACTTCTTCTTCTTCTGTAAAATTAACTAATTAAGACTAATTATTTTATTCGACAGAATTTTAAATTCTATTTTTTTATATTTGCTCTTTTGTATTTAATTTTCTTGCTTATTATTTATTTTAAATTTACTTTTAGTCTTAACTATATTAAAAAGACTTACTTACTTTACTTCTTATTAATATTTTTCCTAATAATCTAAGTTATTTTATCTATTTTCGAAAAGATCTCCATTTGATACTTTGATAATCTAAGTTTATCTAAGTGATGAATTTTTTTCAATTTTATTTTAATGCAATGTTCTTTGTTAAGACATATTCTAGTATTGTTAAAAACTATATTAAAAAAGATAAATAATAATAAAATTATCAATCAATGGGATGCATTTAAGAAAGAGAGGGTAAATATAGCAGAGAATTTGTTTATAGAAATAGTTCAATAAAACTAATTGATGGTGTAATTGAAGAGATTGATTCATAAGCCATTGGTATTTATAATTTGAATATTATAAGTGAACCTCTCCTTAAATCCTATGACAAGTAAATTAAGAGAATAAGTTTATAAATATATATACAATCACTTGGAAGATTTCAATTTTATAGAATAGGAAAGAGACATAATTTAACTAGAATAATTAAGCAATAAAGTTTTTGTAAATACTGAAACCCTATTAAATTTTTAAATTGATTTTAGTTGCGGAGTAAATGATAAATATTAGATAAGTGAGTGTGATCTAATGACTACTTTTGAGCAGATCCTTTAATTTGCAGACAATACATCTTATCTCTATCAAATATGCTTTACTGATTATATTATGTATGAGATCCATGATATTGATTATAATTCTTATGCAGATTGTTTAGTAAAATCTGTTTTCAAGTATAATATTTGAGCAAATAGGTTTTTAACATAAAATAAAAATAGACATATATGTTCTGTCAAGTTTTTATGTATGAAAGCAATAAATGTAGTATTTTGATAATTTATAATAGTTGAATACGATATTTTAAAAAATGATGAAGTATGAAAATTATGATTTTTGATCAATATTAATAATTATAAATTAATGTCTATATCAATAGGAGTATAATCTTATAATACATTTTTAGGACATTCCAATGAGTGAAGAATAATAACAACATATTATAAATGGGGGATTACTAAAATGTGAGGATATGCATAATGGATCATGCATTGTTGATGCTTTATTTCGGTTTGTAAAAATTTGGAATAATTCTTATAAATATTATATTCCAATACATTTGATCCCTTTATTATTATTTCAAAGAAAAAAATTAAAGCAAAAGTAATTTTACCAACATAATTTTATAGTCCAGGAAAGACTTTGAAATAATGCTTTTTGGAATTTTGTGGTTCTGTATTTTTTGTTGCTGGATATATTTCAGCTTGTAAATATGTTTTCTGTAAATTAAGAACAATGGAGTTTAATAATAGTAATGCTATAACTATTATTTTAATAGGGATTTCGCTTAGTTTATCTGGGTTATTTTCCGGAGTTTTTCTTTTTGCAGAGAAATTAAATAGAAGAGCTGAAATAACCATCTTTTTAGCTCCTAAATTTTTAGAAACTGTTTGGCATATGCTATAAAAAAGAAATTTAGTCATGAAAATTGATTATTGGGAATATATTATATTTGGAATAGCTATGGGAATAATAAATTATCATTATATTAATAAAGTAAAAAAGAATAATAATATTAATTTTTTTAGCCAAATTAAATTAAATACTCTTATTTGTAAGTATTCAAAAAAATATGGAACTGATTAATATTACATATATATATATATATAACAATTATTTATAAGATTACTATCATTTTTTTTTCAAAAAGAAATCATTTAGTGTAGCTGGACCACTGCTATGCATATGTATAGTTCCTGATGTAGGTAAACTTGCATCTCCCAACATATCATCATAAAATGAATTAGGATAATAGTTTGGCCTTTCCAAAACTTTAAAATTGTAATTTTTAGAATAAAGATTTTGAAACTCTCTTTGAAAATATGATTGATCCATGCCAACATCAATTTTGTCAGGTAAAGCATCTGGTTTAAAAGTTGGAAATTCATCTACCGATTCTGCAAATTATGAATGATAAGATTAATTAAAATAGGATTAAGTCTAGGACGTAGGAGTATTTATTCTTAAATGGTTAATCTTCTGTTTAACCTTTTACAACTTTTCTCCAAATTAATTAAATAAATGATCCAATTAATTATCTTATTTTCTTTCTGGAGAAATGAAGCTATTTGAGCTATGTTAATGAATATTATTTGAAATTTGATAGTCAAATTCCGTTTTTATTCTTCTATTATCAGTAAATCGATATGAATCTACAGTTTCAGGACTTTGTTTTCTAGATCTCTCATAGATCTAAGTTGAATTTAATTGAGTAGGAGTTTTAGAATGATAATTTGATTATGTGTTTTATTGTTGTCTTTAAGGAACATAAAAAGTCATTTAATTTTATGGAGTTGTTTGTTCCTATTAATTTCTCTCTTAATGAGTAGTACTGTAATTATTTGTATTATACGAATTTTAAATTTGGTAGGTATGCTATTTATTAACATATCCCTAAGAGGGTGAAGGACTTTGAGATTAATATTTATTATTCATAGTTGTACTATTAACAAATTTATCCATCTAAGCACGATTTCCCAAAGAATTCGTACTCAAATTCATCTTCTAATTTAAGATTTTTTCCAATTAATATAAATCAATTCTTTATTCTTCATCTACCTGGAGCATTTTTCCTAATAAATCCACAAATTAAGGCTAATATTACTGTGACAATACTCTCAGGTATGTATTAATTACATCTTATGAAACTAGGAATTTAGATAAATCATAAATCGATTAGGCAGATTATTAAAGTGCCAATTCCAGAATTACCAAACCTAATGAAAAAACCTTAATAAAATAATTTAATACTTCTGATTTCTCATAATTGTAAATAGGGTTCAAAGTCCGTTTGCCCAACTCATATACTAGAATTGGGGCCAAATAACATTAATTTGTAAATCCAATTAACTGCATCTTGTATTCATAAATATCAGTTATAAATCGAATATCCGTTAATTAGTATCTATTATTTTATGTTATCAATATTGTTTAAGGGCTTAATTGTCCATGTCTAATTCTTTTTGATATAAACATCAACAACGCTTATGTAACATCTTTTATTATTGATAAACAATCAAACTGACTTAGCTTTTTCAATTCTCCAACACATTTCTATGTATATTAATATTGCAATTATATCCCGAATAGTTGACCACAAAATGATTTTTACTCACTAGTAGTGAATTTCATTAATCTGCAAATGGTTGGATCTTAAATTTATGTTCGCTTTTATGTTTCAGTTCTTGCTTACTCATATTAAACAAACGAATCATATGTTTTATTTATTTGAATCAATTACTCATTTTTTGTATTTAACAAATAACCTTATCCGTATGCAACATTATTAACATCTTAATTCATTATAATATAAATTATAAATTTTATTTCAACAACTCAAATTTCGAGTCACAATTCATTTTTTTCTCAATCAATCCTCTAAAATTATTTTATATTGTTTATTTATTATAATATTACACTCTTTATAAGACTATTGAAAGCTACTCACAAAATTCTAAATCTTAACTATTAAGCATTGTTAATAAAATATCAAAATGCTTTGTCAACTGTTACAAAAACTAATTCTAAAATTAGCCTTAAGCAATTATTTCTAATAGTAACTACACCATATTTCTATCATCAATCATTTTTATTACAAATACATCCAATAATCCATTATCTAAAATGAATTTTTGAACATCCTCATTACACTAAAATTAACTAAATTATTACAATCTCTTAAGAAAGATATTTTATTGAAATAGATATATCTCTATCATATAGAAGCAATATAAATGCAACTAAAGTTTAATTTTTCTTTTTCTTTTCTAATAAAGCTTTTAATTGAAGTATAAATTCTCTATTTTTTGAATCGTGAATTCCAATATAATATTTGCAATTTTGTTATTTTTTTTGATTTTTTATGACTTCTTCAATTTATTAACAATTAATTGTAGTACATGTATTTTTAAAATAAAAATATGATAGTTGTAGCAACAATTTATAAATTTATTAAAAACCTTGTTTATTGATCACTATCAACATCAAATTTCCAAGCAAGTCTATTAAATTATCTTATAAACAGCAAGGTAATAATTCTTGATTCCACTTTTTATTTTCAATTCCTAATTATATTTATAATTAATCTAATCCAATAAATATTTATTCAAATACGCTTTAAAATACTTTAACTAATTTCATTTAATTATCTTAATTATTGGAAGTTTTTTTTTACTAATCTCCTTATTGTAATTATTAAGTTTAACATTATTTAGATTATTCAATAGCTTATTATTACTATTATTTTAAAGATTATAGAGATTCATTTTATTCTGTATTGTATATTTGCTCTTTAATTTATTCTTTTTATTCTACTAATTTTTAATTAACTTTTTCTAATTTCTTTTATAATTAAATTGTATTATCTTTTTCTAGAGAGAGTTTCTTTTCTAATTCTAAAATTCTAACTTTTTGAGATTCCACTTATTTTTCTAATAATCCATTTCTCTATTTTAATTTTTAAATTTCTTAACCATATGCCGAGTTATTTTTTTAAATTGAAGAACCTTTGAGTTCAATGATTTTAACTTTAGATTTTAATTGATGTTCCAAGTTGTTAAACTTTTTATTTAAATTACTTAGTTTTGATTAATATTGTTCTTCCATCATTTTACTTAAAATTTCATAAACCTATTAGATACTGTTAGACATTTCAGATTTAAACTTTTATAATGAATATTCATATTCTACAAGTTCTTTTTCTTTTTTGATCTGCTAAACTTATTTTTTTTCTAACAATTATTTAACATTTTCTAATTCATCAACAATTTCATTATTGATTTTTTATTTTTCTTTTCTATTAATATCTTGATAAGTTTCTTCTGCAATTTCTTCAATCAAACCCTTGATTCCTTTGTCTCTGGTACATAATTGAAGTGCATTTAAAGAGACGATATTGGGATCAACCGTAACAATTTTATTTTTTAAATTTTCTTTAAATTATAATTTTTACTCTGCATTTTGAAATTCAATTGAATATTCTTATAGTAATATTTTATAGAATTCTGTGAATTTAACAGGTCTGCCTTTAATAAAATTTAATAATGATTTAGTTTATTTATGAGTGCAAACATCTTCTTCAGGATCAATACAATCGACTTTGGACAATTATAAATCTGAACCTTTTTCAATATATTTAGCATATTATTTATTTAAAAAGGAACTCTTATCAAGAGTAGGTCTTGATTGTTCAGTTTGATCTAATTAATTTAATCTATTTTCAAGATCGATATCAAATTAATGAGTAGTAGAGATTTATTCTAAAATATGCTAATATTTTTGAAGATCGAAAGGATGCCTTTTTTTATTTTAATCTTCTTCATCAACTCTTACTTTAAGAGTTCTCATACCAGAGAAAGTTAAATTAGACATAATTTGAATTATATTAATTTAATAAGATGTTAGTAACTATGAAAGGGCGTAAGAGTTCTGCATCAAAATTTGATAGAAAAGAGTTTGATTAAAGAACATTAAGTGCTGCAGTGAATTTAATAGTTTATGGATGTCATGTTCAAAAATATAATAAATCAAATAGAAAACCGATATCTAGATTATATTATTTATATGAAGAAGACATGGATTATTTATAATATCTACATGCAGGAAGACCATTTGCATAATGTAGAATTCCATTATTAGATATCATTGAATTAAGAGAAATTCCAACGACAGAGTCATTCTAAAACCTACCTTATTCAAGAACTCTCTAAATTACATTTGCGAGTAAAAAGCATACAATTTTGTTCAATACAAAAAATGAAAGAGATTTATTTTGGTAAGGTTTATAATATTTTATTGATGTGGCAGAGCATAATTTGATAAGAGATATAAAAAGCACAAATGATAATCCAAATATTGAATAAATTACCTTAAAGTAAATAAAAGGTATGCTTCCATAATTATCAATAACAAAATAAGAAGTAAGTATATCTAAATCTATTCACAGCTTAAAAACCTTTTTAACCAATACGATTTGGAAAGAAAAGGATACATTTCGAGTTCTGATTATTAAGATTTACTTAAGAGATTGATGAACCAAGATTTTGTTAGATTTTTATTCGATAGATACGCAATATAATAAATGAACAAATCAGAATTTACAAAATTCTTAACAAATGAATAATGTCCTTATTAAAAATAATGTGAAGATGCATTTAGATTATTTGCTAAATAAGATGGAAATAACTTTTCATTATCTTTCTTAGAATTCTTAAATTATCTATTAAGCACCTATAATTAATTGTTTGATTATCAAAAAACATAAATTTATTAATCTGAAGATTATCCTTTGACTGATTATTGGATAAACTCTTCTCATAATACTTATTTAATGGGAGATTAATTAACTAGTGAAAGTTCCATATAGGCATACATAAATGCTTTTTAAAAGGGTTGTCGATGCGTAGAATTAGATTGTTGGGATGGTGATAATAATCAACCTATAATTTATCATGGGTTTACGATGACATCTAAAATATCATTTGAATCAGTTATCCAAACCATAAAAGAATATGGTTTTAAATATTCTAAATATCCATTGATTCTCTCACTTGAAGTCCATTGTTGTGTTAAGTAGTAGGATGTAATGGCAGATATTTTAAAGACTTATTTAAATGATAATCTCTTACTATTACCAGATGATTATAAATCTTCTGAATATTATCCAAAATTAAATAAGCTTTATTAAAAAGTAATTATCAAACACAGAGGTAAAATGAAATCAAGTCTCCAATATCGAGAAAGATTCATTTCCATTACTCCTATTAATATTATCCCACCCGCTTTTGAAGAATCTGATAGTCCAGATGTTGTTAAAAGACCCAGTTTATCTATTTAAATTGATTAATAATTAAATACACCAACTACACTGAAACCAAAATCATAAAAGGCATTTAAGAGACAAGATCATGGATTACCATTAAATTAATATAAAAATACCATAAATCTCTATTAAATAGATGAGGAAATGAAACCTAATAAGATAATTCATAAAACTAAAACAGAAACTACATTAAGACCTAAATATAAGATTTTAAATATTGAAACTCAATTTTAATTTGATGCACCAAATCCTAGATGTTAGATGGTTTAAACACCATTAAAGGTTGACTCTGATGAAGATATATCTATTGATAAAGCTAAAAAAGAAAAAGCTGAAAGTCTTAAGATGAGTTCAATAACAGCTTTATTTGGAGCAGCAATTAAATAATAAATACGAACTGTATGGGAAATCTCTTCTCTAGATGAAAGTAAGGTTAATGAAAACCTACTTGAATTTCATCGAAAATACTTTACTCGAATATATCCTTCTGGTTCAAGAGTAGATTCAAGTAATTATGATCCAATACCAGCTTTTAATAGTGGATCACAAATAGTAGCACTTAATTTTTAAACTAATGACATGCCTATGTTATTAAATATGTGTAAATTTATGGAAAATGGAGGAATTGAATCTGGATATGTTTTAAAACCATAATGGATGAGATCTGAAGGTAAAAAAAAAATAAATGAATTCACAACAATTCAATTGTCATTCTCATTAAGTTTATTAGTTGGATATAATCTCAGACAATTAAATGTATTTGTATAGTCTTTATTTTAAGAATTAAAATGCTAAAGTCAACCCTTAAATAAAAATATCAATACGAGGTCTTTAATAGGATGAATAGAATAACAAACCCCAGATTGCAACCATTTCTTAAAATGGATTAAATCCTTAATTTAATTTTATCTATAAATACAATATAAGATGCCCAGACTTGGCATTTTTAGTATTTGAGGTACTCGATGCCAACAAAACCTTCTTAGGATGGAGTGCCATACCTCTCTCATGTATTTCCTATGGTTATAGGGCTGTTTAATTATTAAGTTAATACTTGAAGCCTTTACCTAAGAGTTGCCTTCTTGTTCACGTTTAAAAACACTGATTGAAACTTTTATAATTAATATGTTTAATAATATTAAAAGAAACTTGACTATCTTTAATAAAGACATCGTTGAGACTTCTTGGTTAAAAAGCTTGATTGATGATATTCCTAAACCAAAACATGTTCAAGTAGTGTTTTTTAAATATAAACAATTAGATACTGCATAAATGTCTATCAGGAGAATACACTAATGTTGATCCAAAAGTAGCAGTTCGAAAGATTACATAAAGATTGCAACATTCTTAAAAACCTTTAAATGCTCTCAAATCTCTTTACTTAGTCCATTTATTGAATAAGTTTTTGATAACTTAATTGACAGATAAAATTATTGACCAATAATCTAAAGATCCTGCAGATGTCTTATTAGCATCTGTTGCTTCTTTATATTATTCTTATCTTAAATCATAAAAAAATGCTTTTGATAAGATAGACAGCATTTTTAAAATGAATAGATAACTTGAGATTTTAATGCTTAAAACAAATATTCCAATATTAAAGGAAATTATCACTCTCTTAATTATTGATATTATAGGAATATATGAATCTATTGATGTGAAAGATGATTATGAAAAAAGGATTAGAGCAATGAAATAAGTTAGAAGATTTACCGATTTAAAAGGATATTTATAAATGAATTAAGAATTATAAAATAAACTGAACACTCTAAATTTTTCAGAAATAAAGGAACAACAAATATGTATCGAGAGTAAGATATGTAAAACAATTCCAATCTCTTAAGAAATTGAAACCCATCATATTGAATTAAATAAAAAGCAACTCTCAATTTAAGTCAATGATAACACATATTATGAAAACTTTCATTCATGTAAAGTGTATCCATAGGAAAGAAAGATGAGTCTTCAAACTGGAACAATAACAAATTAAAAAGGAATTGTTTAATCTAATACTAGTAGAGCTTCATCTATTAAAAATAACTTCTTTGTCCCCAGATAAGGACCATTATCTTTTTTGATTCCAAGCTGAAAATATATATATCTATTATATTATATGCTATTATATAAAAACTCTAAAAATTGAACATGTCAAATTAAAAAAAAGAATGTCAAGCAAATTAATTATAAATTAATTTATTAATTATGTTAATTTGTTGTGCACTTTTTTCTATAATAATTCTTTCGTGTCTTATATTCTACAAAAGAATTACTTTATCAAAGTAAAGAGCACAAAGAAAACAAAAAGAGTATTTTGAAACTGGAATATCAAAGTAAACACTTGCATTTTTACATCCTTATTGTAATGCAGGAGGAGGAGGAGAAAAAGTATTAATGTGTATGATTGAAAAATTGCAAAAATAATAAAAATATCACATTGTTATATATTCAGCAGAAGAAGTTGATGATTAATCAATTATTGATAAAGCTAACTAAAGATTTGGCACAAAAATAAATAGTGAAGAACTTAAATTTATTCCTATCCTAAAAAGAAATTTGCTTGAACCTAAAAAGAGATTTACACTATTGTGTTAAATTTTTGGATAAATGATTTATGCTTTAAAATGCATAAATAAATTTTAACCAGATATATTCTTAGATTCAACAGGATTACCATTTACATTTTTTATTGTTAGATTATTATTACCAAATGTAAGAGTGATAGCCTACGTTCATTATCCATTTATTAGCACAGATATGATTTCATAAGTGGAGAAAAAGGAAGCTAAATATAATAATGATGATGAGATAACTAAATCAGAAAGAAAAACAAAGATTAAATTATGGTATTACAAATTTCTATTCTTTTTATTCTCTTTATGTGGTAGAATGGTAGAATTTGCATACGTAAATTCAACATGGACATATAATCATATGAAATAGACATGGAAATCTACATAACTGGTTAAATTATTTCCACCTTGTTAAGTTGAAGCATTTTTGAAAAGAAAATAATTCACAAATTAATTTATAATTATATCCTTTGCTTAATTCAGACCAGAGAAATAACATTTGTTATAAGTTGAAATTATTGAAGCTTTAGTAGAAAGATTACCTTCTGAAATATCTCAATCAATCAAACTTTACATGATAGGATCTTGTAGAAATGCAGATGATGAACTTTTATTTCAAACTATTTAGGACACAATAAATAGAAAAAATCTTTAAGTATATGATAATTGAATTACGTTAGGATTATATAACAATGTATAAAAACTTGCCTTTTTAAGATATTCAAAAGCTTCTCACATCTGGGATGATTGGACTACATACAATGGAATATGAACATTTTGGAATTACAATGGTTGAAATGCTTGCTGCTGGTCTTATTGTTATAGCACATAATTCAGCAGGACCTAAATTAGATATATTAGCAAATGATATTGGATTTCTATGTGAAAATCTTGAGGATTATGTGTTATCTGTAGTTAGAATTATGTAATTAACAGAGTAATTAATATATATTATTATTATTTAGTGAAGAGAGAAGTAGATATCAATTAATGGGTAGAAAATAAGCAGTTAATTTTAGTGATGAGACATTTAAGGATTTATTTAATATTTGATTATTATAATATTTTCTATAAAAACTAAATGATGATTGCTGAGGATTTTGATAGTGAAGTTTACGATACTTCACTTGATAAATTTAAAACTTACGAAGAATATTTGGATTCACATATCACAAAGGAAGATCTCTTTTATTTAGAAGATATTGAATTGGCTAGATAATTGAAGGAATAAGGTTATCATGCAAAAACAGAAATCTTAAGTCGTGAACAATTTGAGGCTAAAAAGAAAGCAGTTGAAGAAGCTAGATTAAACTAAAATAAAGATAAAACTAAAGCACTTGCTCATACAGAAGTAAGTGATCCATCCATTATAGAAAAATCTCCTTTTTTAAGAGCATTAGCTGAAAGGTAATCATTTATCATCATTCATAGAGAGTTAAAAGTTTTAAATGGAAAATTATTAACAATTATTTTTATCAGATTGGAATCAGCTAATTGTGAAGTAAGCGGTTACATTGATTATGCACATCGTTTAAAAAGCGAGGATTTTAAAATATATTTTGAAGGCAAAAAAAAATTATAACCTCGTCCAACAGATCTATCATATTATAATTGGAGAACAGGTTAATGTGTTTCAAATGATTCTCCCAATTTTAAAGTTGATGCTAATTCTGGATAACAAGGATTATTGTTTAGAAATAAAAGAGATAGAAAGGTATAAATTTTTCTATTAGTTTTAAAGGTCATTAATGTAGATCCAAATAAAAAACCAGAAGATGGTATGACTAGAACTGAAATAGAATCTCCAGAAGCAATTTAAATTGTTTTGTACGATTATTATACAAGAAAAAAATGAATTTTTTATTATATAATTTTATATTTAATATTAATATAGGCAAGTTCTTAATTTAATTATCCTATTTTGTTTAATTATTATTTAATATTATAACAATTATAAGTTAGAAAATTAATTGAGATATTCATTAATATTTTTTGTTTTATTTTAAAAGTTTAACTTTAAAAAAAAAAAAGGATATCTAAATTACATTTCTAACTTTGTTTATCTTTATTTAAATTATAGTAAGAATCTAAATTAGTCCATTATTTAATTAAATCCCCATTCCCTTTTTTATTTTTCTTATCATATTAAAAAGAGTGAGCTCCAGAATAAATGAATTCAGAATTAGGATCCATTACAGAACGTGCTCCATTAAAAACACAGCCAACTCTTCCAAAATAATCACAAAGACCTGCATTTTTAAAGACTGTTAATTTGAAAACAATACATACTAATAGAATGAACTCATTTCAAAATAAAATATGGAGAGATAAAGCACTTTTAGTTCTTATGTAAGTGCTTCGCTTTATATCACTTATTACTCGTAGTCCCTTTGCATCAAAATTCTCTCTATTGGATAGAAACATGTTTAGAATTATTGGAGATAAAGCAGCTGATTTTAATTATTACCTACTCCATGATTACTTTAAATATATGGTAATTTATCAATCTAATCAAGAAACCCTAATAATCATCTCGCTTTAAATATTTCTTATAATAGCATCTATATAAGATTTGTTACATGAAAGGGTTCATGGATTATGTGACTAACTTAAGACTTATCTTTGAACCTGAATCAATTGTATTACTGCTTTGGAATATTATCATGCTTATAAATATCAATTTAAATCTACTGTATCTAACAGTTAGATTTTCTTTTGATTTCGATAACTATCCACCTGAAAATTATTATTTTTGCGAAATTTATCTGTTTAAATTGCCCTTTATATTATATATAATAGATGTAATAATATAACTTAATACTTGCTATTACGAAGCAGGTTACTTAGTGAAAGATAGAAACAAGATTTGGTATAACTTTTACAAAAACAGTATATTTAAAATTATAAACTTTTAGAGTTTTTTAATAATTTATTTATTTTAGTACCTACCTCAATTTACTTTATAGCCTTCTAAAATACATCACTCTATTTATTTATGCTGTTAAAGACATTTTCAATTCCAACTATAACAGAATCAATAATAGATAGAGTAGAGCTTACTACTAATTATTGGATAACTTATGACTTAATACGATTAATTTATGTGATTTTTTATGAATCCCATATATGTTGTTGTGGATTATTTTATGTAGGGCTTTTAGATAAGGAATCTTCTTGGTTATTAAAGAATGATCTTATATATGAAACTTGGATTATTAAATATGTAATAATAAGTTATATTATTTAAGCTCACAACATTTTATTGGAGCATTATAACTATGACTACTATAGGATATGGCGATATTATTCCTTAGAATTTGTTTGAGAAGAGTTTTCTAATTTTTCTTGCAATTTTTTCTTCTTGCTCATTTGGTTATTCAATAAATTGCATTGGATAAATAATTGGCTAATTATAATCCAAGAATCATTAAATACGTGTTGATTTAAATGATTTAAAATAATATCTGAGAATAAGAGGATATAATAATAAATTACAGATAAGGATTATAAGATTTTTTGAATTTCTTTGGAAAGATTAAGAAAATGAGAATCGATTAGATCTAAATAAATTTAATCAGTAATTGCCCTCTCATCTACATAGTGTAAATCTAAATAATATTATAGGAAATGATGAAAGACCTAAATATGAAGAGTATATCAAAGATTCCATTTTTTAAAGAGAATTTTAATGAAGATTTTATATCTGCTTTAGCATCTAAATTTGTAGAAGAAAAGTTGGTTCCATTCAATACTATATTTACAAAAAATGATCCTAGTAATTATTTATACATTTTATGTGATGGTGAAATTGAATATTTCGTCGAAATACCAGAGGGTTCTGCTACTATTTTAAGTATTCAGACCATAACAGGATAAGATGAAATTTTTGGCTAATAAGAGTTTCTATTAGATCAAAATTATGAAATAAGCTGTAGATCAACAATATAATCAAGAATCCTTAAAATATCAAAAACAGATTTTAATGTAATAGCCAAGAAATTTGGATATGTATTTAAGTTGTTAATTATAGGAAAAATATTGCTAATTGAAAGACTTAGTTAAATTCTCAGGTCGATTTGATGAGTTTCATTTACATTGTGTTGGTTGTAATAAATCGACGCATATGTTATATTAATGTCCTATGTTAACTGGCTTTCCTAATAAAACTAAAATAATTATACAATATCGGAAAAATTAAGTACAAGAAAGGAAATATCAATCAAGAAATAATTTAAAAAGACGATTATCTTCATTAATTTTTGAAGCATAAATATCTGATACAGTGCTCTATTATTTATTGAAAGACCCTAAACTATCTTAATAAATCAGTTCTTAATATTATATCTAGACTTTAAAATAGTAGTAAATGTAAAAAGAACTATAAAATAATAATCATAGGATGAATGGATAAAAATAAGTAAAAGATGAAATTAGATCAACTAAAAGAAAGCAATCCGTTTTAAATATAAAAGGAAGAAAATAATCTTTATACATAAAAAGATTGCCTGATTTTCTAAATGGTTAGTATATAAATGTTAAGGAAAAATAAATTGAAATGAATTATAAATCTTTACCTGAAGATAAAATTAAATCAGGAGCACATTCAAATTCTAAAGGTGTTTCTGCCTAACATTCAGAAACTCCTAGTCCTGAAAGAAAAATGAGAAATTAAGAAGAAATCAATATTTTTGAATAACATAAAATTTCTACAGATATTGCAAAGACTTTATCATTCAAGTCCATGAATCAAACCTCTTAGGATTAAGATTAAATAAATTCAGATACTGATAGTATTAAGGAAAATTCTTCTTTTTCATAAAATAGTAGCGAATCTCCTTCAAAAGAGTCTAAAGGTGCTAGTCCTGGAATGGGGCAAATAGTTTAATGTTATATGGGTACATACAAAGATATTTTTGAGAAATTCGATAAATTCCAAGATTTTTAAAATTACATGACACATATGAATTCTTCAAAGATTCTTGAGCAGCTTAATCAATTCAAAGAAACCTAAAATTTTACTGATTTCATGAACGTGAATTTCGTGAAAAAGCGTAGATCGAAAAAAAGTAAATTGGTTATAAAAATTGATTATTGAGATTATTATTAATTTATTTATGTACAGATTTAAACTCTGTCTTAATTATTCACGTTTAAATCAATCTCTATCTGCTTTTTTAAAAAAGTACAAGACTAATTAGAAGAATGTAATTTAAGTGGAGAATAAATAATTGGAAATTGATAAAAATAGACCACGATAACCTAAGCCTATTTAAGATTAATTAACAATCTCTTAAGAAGATCAATTAAAATAAAAATATCTGTTATAAAGAGTGAAAGTGATTGATTTAAATGAGAAGGATAATTACAGTCATTTTAATAGGGCATAATAATTGGCAATAGATAAATAAATAAAGTAATTAGAAGTAGATTACAAAGTAGAAGCAGAAGTATTGGAATTGTAAAAGAAGGGAGAATTATGTAATGATTTTAATAATAATTAAAGTGATTGATGATACAAAATTACCTAAATAATTCTTGGCAACTCTAGATAAACAAAGAAAAAGAGGTAAGAAAATGCTGAGAAGATACTTTATAAATGGAGAGCATCGTTACGTAAAGGAAAATATTTACAAATTTAGAAATGTGGCAGAATGGAAAAAATATATGAGATTTAAGAAACCTCTGATAAATTAATTGAAAATGGAATAATTTTAAAGATATCCAGGTACAAAAAAAGGAAAGTATCCAATATAAGATAAAAAAGGATTTACAAGTATGAATCAATTAATAAATAATAGAATGGTTTAAAGAGAATCATACATAAAAAACAGTAGATGCAATAGAATTTTTAGTAAGAAAAGGTTATGGTAAAGTAGCTGATCATTTAAGCTTTAAGAAAAGAAAAAGATTTATAACAAAAAGAGCCTAAGCAAAAATTGATTTAAAAAAAACAATATAAAGAATGAAATAAGAAAAATATGAAAAAAATACTTGGGAAGTAGTTACTCCAGGAACTGTACTTTTTGTTGAAGAAACAATGATTGAATAATTAACAAAAGGGAATCCAATGAGAGATTTAGCATAGAATACTCATATAAAAATTTAAACTCATATGCCTGAGGGAGAAATTCAACCATTACCTGATAAATTTCCATTAAAGAAGACAAAATTAATTTATTATTTGGAAAGATGGTCATTTTTTAGATCATTTGGAGCATATTAATTGTTGAAAGACTTAGTAGAAGGGAATGTTGAGACTAAGAAAAATGAATCAATAAAATCAGCATCATTAAATACATATTATTAAACATTACCTAAACATATTAGAGATAATCCAAATGTTAAAAATGTTTATAGAGGATTAGAATTTGCTAATAATTAAATGACTTTGGCTGAAAAAGAAACTTCATTAAATTTAGCAGCTAGATTATCATGTCCTTTTGATGAAATGAATTAGGAAGTATATGATGAAGGATCTGCTGGATATAGACCTATGATATCAAGATTTGATGAAGAAAGATTAATGTAAGATTAAGAAAATGAACATATTGATACTGCCGTCGTAATAACAATTGTTTATGTAGAATCCTGATGCTTTATTCAAATATTTAGAACAAAGAGCACACACTCCAAGACATGTAGCCAAAGATGATGTTCCTCTACCAGATTGGGCTGTAGATAAATCTGAAAGAGTAGATGATCTACCAGTTGATTATTATATCAATGATGATGGATTCTGGGATGATTACATTAAAGCTAAAGAAGAAAAACATCTTAAAGATACTCCTATATCTGGAGGAAAAAAATATTTTAGACATATTTGAAAGAGTATTTTATAATAATAACATTATCTTATATGTTTCTGTGGCCTGACGGATATAATCGCTAACCTTAAAACCCATTAAAATAACTAATTGAGAAGACTCAAGGGGACATTTTGCTGCTGTTAGATGAAGACCTATTTATCAAATAAGCAAAATTGGGAGACACATTAGCTGTTGAAACACTAGTACAAGGTACTGTTGGCTTACTAGAAGTTATGTTTATGGATTATAAGTATGTTTTAAGTGAACATTTTGAACAATTAACTAATCAGTATTCCATCATGTGGGAATTAATAGATCTTAAACTCCCAAAAGTTAATTCTCAAATTCTGGTAATTATGACATCTTAAATATAGACTCATTGGGAATTAGTATTCTCATTACTAGACAATGAATTAACTGTTGAAATTTAATGGTATTTTGCTTTACGCATCATCACCTTTGTTAGTTAAGAAAAGTCTACTCTACTTAATAATCATTAAGATAAGATAATCAAATTATATCAACATCTTGAATATACATATGTTGCTTAAATCATCACTGAAATGATTATTACTCCTTCAAATTTAAATTAACAATTATTCATTAGTAAAGGCATCCAAGAATTCCATTTACTAACTGAATTACAAGCTATCAACTTTACTCAAATTATACATGAACTCTTTACCAAAATTAAGAGTTAAGATATCATAGAATTCATAATTACCAGTTCTATTTTAACTAAAATGTTTGAAGTTATTTAATCAAATAACAATATGTAATATTTCTTTACTAAACTTTAGAGTTTCTAAAAATGCTGCTCATATCATTTCAATCATCTCTAACCATTACTCAAATGAATTATAAAATTTAGACTTAGAAGAGGAAGAATCTGAAATTATTACTACTTAATTCCATTCTACCATTTTTTACCAAATTGTTACAAACAATTTACAGATTATCAATAATCTATTCAAACAACATTGTGATCACAATTTAAAAATTACCCAATTAATTATTAAATTAATTGAAGTAAGCTTTAATCCCTACTTATTAGGTTGTTGATAATCTTGTTAGAATTACAGATATTTCACTCTGGGAATGTATGCATTAAGCCTAAATCATGGTTTCAATCATACAATTATGCAGCATTTATAAAAAATCTGACATTCTCTCTTCCTAAGTAGAAAGAATTCTTTTCTATATTTTTGAAAGAGCCTTAAATGATAACCATCCCTTTTGGGCATTTTAATTCATTAAGGTCTATCAAATTTAAAATATCACTAATTCTATGTTTAATAGATAAGTTTTCGCTTTTGAATAATAGTTAAATACAAAAATTAAAAAAGAATTCGATTACATTACTTATGATACTTAAATTCTAGAAATTAATTCAGAATTATAATAATCAAAAATTTGGGAAAGGAAGAAATGGGAGTTAAAATTATAACAATGTGAAAATTAAAAAAAATTAGGTTCTTAAATGTAAATCAATGATGATGAAACAAAATTGATTGAAATTAATAATAGTGGGAATATAAATTTATGCATTTTAGATGAAAAGAAAAAAGAAGAAGAGAAGATTCTAGAAGGAGATAAAAAAGAATAAGAAGAAAATATTCAAGTATAAGGTATTGAAGAATAAAAACAGAATATTAATGAAAATCAGTAAATAGAGGATTAAGTGGGTAAAAGTGAATCTGATTCATCATCAAGTTCTTCAAGTGATTCTGATGAAGAAATAAAATAAAATGAAGATTAAAGGAATAAAAATGCTTTTATGAGTCAATCTGGAAATTTAGAATAATTAGGATTTTAAAATAGAAAAAATAAGTTAAATTTGGAACAAATAGAGAAATTAAGAAAAAAGTCAATTCAATTTGAAAAGATTTCATAACATATGACTCAAGCTGGGAGAAGACTTTCATTATAAGCAGGTTTAAATATAAAGGAGCTTAGTCCAACTTATATAGAATTTAAACTTGATTTAGAAAAAAAGGTTCTCCGTAATATAAACGACAATTAAATATTAAAAGTAGATGAATTAGATTAAAGTATCAATCAATGAATAGCTTTGTATCAAAATTATCGTCAATAATATTCCATCCTCCAATTCCCCATTCATTCTTATTAAATTAAGATTCTTTTGGTTTTTGTTTTTTTTCATTACAAATTTAGGTTTTAAATAGATTTGAAGAAGAGTGTTTTTAAACCACTGGACTTCTACAAAATGCAGGTGCTGTCTCAATTCTGATGTATTCTTCAGGAGAATGTCTAGTTTGTTTAAATCCAGATTTCAAGCGAAAGTTCTTAAAAGCAGGACATCTGCTATGAATACGATCAGTTTAAAATAAAAGAATTGGTTAAGCAGGAAGAGTTTTTAGAGTACAGATAGGCAATGAAGTATCTCTTTCTTTAAAATATTTCTTTGTTTAAAATAATGATTTTATGAGCAGAGGATTTTTTAATTGAATTGGTTATCTGATACCATATTTAGATGATTAAATATTTAAATACTAAGGACATTTCTTAAGTAAGATATCATTCTATGCTTTTCTAGTTTGATTGAGATATTATCGAATACTTTCTTTGTTTTATTGGCAATCAATTATTAATTCTTTATCCATTATATAATATTTAATGTTTATTTTAGTCTTATTTGGTTATAAGCAATATAAGGTTTTCACCATAGATGTTTTAGGGAGTACATTATTGGATTGTATATGGAGTTAAGCAATAAAGGAAATAAATAAAGTAAATTTGATTTAGGAATTCAAAATAGCTACTTACAGCCAAAGATGAATAACATTAGAAAGATTAAAAGACTGCCTAATAGAAAATATCATCAAATGAGAAGAGAATATTAGCAATTAATTAATAATTATAAGAGGAAGGGTTACTTGAAGCCCCAACAGGAAAAAAAGTTACAAAATGCATATAAATATCTAGGATGACAAAAAGGGTGCTAAACCACCTCCTTAAAAGAAAGGAAAAGATGCTCCTCCAAGTAATCCTTTAGAAGCAGAAAAATTGGAATTATAAAAGGATACAGAGAAATAATAAGAGTATGTCACAAAATATACTGATAAATTGAACAAGATTAAAGTTATAATGGATAAGTTTAAAGATTTGAATGAGAAATATCACAATGATTAGTTAGTTATTGAATTATGTGATAAAACTGGTGAGCGTAAATTTGTGAAAACAAAATTAGATGGAATTGCAAATACATTTTTAAGTGATAAAGGCACTTATATCTTAGCTTATTTATAAGCTCCAGCTACTCGTAAGTTTATATCTTAAATCAAATAGCTGATGAGGAAGAATAATTGTTGGCTTTAGAATTTGAGGGTTATTTGGCAAGAACAGTAGATGAAGATATTGGAGCAGTAGAAGAACCACTATTATAATTATAACCAAAAAAGGACGATAAGAAGAAAAAAGGAAAAAAATGATTTATTTACAATTTCATTTTATAATCAAATGCCCTTCTCATTTATATTATGTTTGGATTTCTATTTTCTATTCTGACTTTTCTGCCTTTATAAATAATTTCAACGCTTCTTTGTATTTTGATATACATCTTCTTAAACATAATTCTTCAGGAGTTTCTATTTGCATATTAACACTTAAATTTGTGCAGTGCTTTAGACATGTTGTTTACATCAATTGATTTTACATATATATTAAATAAAATAATCATAAAAATAAGGCTAATTTTTATAACAATACTTCCCAAAACAACCTTTACTAATCTCATACTATTCCAATTCAGAGCTAAAAATCCTGTAGTTTCTTTTCTACCTAAATTTCTTGATTGGTTAGAATCTCAATTAGGTAATTTATTATTAAATCTACTCAAAAAGGAAAATCATGTTCTGAAAGAACATATCTCTAAACTATAGAAGGTTATCTTAAAAATATTCTGAAGCTAAAAAATAGTATTAGAATTGCTAATTTGAGTTATCATCTTTTCTTATACGTTTAAAGTTTTATCTAATTCTTAAAACTGTATTTTATTTAGATCTAACAATGTTTGACTCATTGAATTTTGAAAACTCTAACTTAAGAAAAGAAATAGAATAAAGGATCGAGAATATACAACGGGAATTTAATCTACAACTATCAATCAAACATTAAATGAGTAGTAACTCAAACATTAGATATTATTGTATGATGATGAAATTAGAGTTCTTAATAAACAACTTAATAATATTTATTTCATTTCTTTTCTAAAATTTTTATTCTACTATAAAGGAGGAAATTAATTGCAGGAATCTCTTTAAGAGGAAAAGGAAATTTTACTTAAGAAATCCAAAGAATTAATTTTGAATCCAATATAAGTAGTATTTATTAGAAAGAAAAAGATATTTCAAGCATAGCTCAAACTAAAGATCTAAAAATTAAAGAATTGATTTAAAAATATACAAAGTAGATCATTAAATTTATAAAATGATAATGATTCATAAAGTGAATAAATTGTAAAGTGCAAAGATTTTTTCTTTTAAAATTATTAAAAGAGTAATGATTAAGAACATTCATGATATTTATGCAGTCAATAAGTTTTATAAATAAAAGAATAAAAATCTGAATTAAGTTTCTTTAAATAAGAGAACTATCCATAATAAATAATCATATTAAAATAAGAGATGAATAATATTTAGTTAAGAATTAAATGATAGTTTATTTAAATAAAATGAAAAGATGTAATGGTATAAAGAATAGCATAATGAAATTTAAGAAAGATTAAGAAAAATTAAACTAGTATATGATTTTAGTGAAACCTTAACTACTTAGTTATCTCATTAAAAATGAAAATAAAATATGTAGAGAACTGAGTGATGGTATTCAAAGAGATTTGGAATAGAGAAATTATTCTTATAGAACATATTATAAAAATAAATGATCTAAATAAAAATATTAAAAATTGTCTAGATTTATAACTAGAAAGAGAATAATTAAAATTTATTTTGAAATAAATAATGAATTATAAAATTAGATTTAATTGAATTAAAATAATAAATGAGTGAAAATTAAGAAAGTAATCGTGATAGAGAAATAAGAGAGTAAATGAAAAAGTAGTATATGGAAGAGGAAGCTAAACTTTAATAGGGAATGGAAGAAGAAGAATCAGCTTTGAGGGATTACTTTAAAAATATTCAAAAACCCCTTCCAAGTGATCCTACAATAATCCGTAATTGCTAATGCTATATATAAAGGTAGAAAAAGATATAATGAGAAAATGGCTACTTATTAGGAAGTTATTAAAGACATATCATTGAAAGAGATGGTTAAAACAATTTGGTAATATTAAGCAAGTACACCAGAAGAGAATGAAACATTATATGACTGCAAATAATATTTTAAATGGAGATGTTATGAAGGAATGGGTTTATGTTTAGCAATGACCAGTTTTATATCATTTTGGAATAGACGATATCTTTCTTATAGTGCTAAAGGATTAGGAGTTTTTGTTGGTTTAGGAACTGGTTTTGCTATGGGTTTTCTTAGATCAACTTAATATACTCTCTAAAGATTAGAAGAACTTGGTTAAGATTATTATCTTGGAAGATTAGCGATTAATGAAATTGAAGACTTTAGAATGGACAAAGTAATTAAGAAAAATATTTGAGTATTATTATATTAAAAATGGGAAATGGTACTTGTAAACAATAATTTCCTTCTTTTGCTACAATCAATCATAGTGATCAAAAGTAACATCTTCCAAATTCCTAATCTTAAAGTCCTACAAAACCTACCATTGATTCTATCAATCCAACTATCGCTAAAATAGAAGACGAGGGACCTAATATTAGTTTTGAAGGAGAGGTGGATGATTGCTCAATATCTAAACTATCATAAGTTGAATCACCTACTAAAGAGATTTCAAAAAAAAGGTACTCATATGAGGATTAATTTTTCCTTGAGTTATTCTCTAAGGATAAAACCTTTTTTAGAAGATCATCTCAAGGATAAAGCATTAGCCCTGTTAGAATTATATCCACTTAACACTAAAAAAATAAAACTTCATTTATTATCGAACATAAAGAACTAATTAAATTAAGATAAGAAGATGCAAATGAAATTTATATACCTAAATCAATACTTAAATCCAGTTATTGTTCTGAAAAATCTTTTTCAAGTCAATCAAAAAAAAAAGTTAAGTTTGGTTTGATTTATAAATAAATATGACTATATATAATACATACATATTTCAAAGTAATTCAAATTATTTCAATAATGACTATTCATCATAATTTAATGATATATTTCCAAGCATTGTCAAAGATGGTTTAGTTGCATCTTCTCTTAATTCTTTAAATGGATCCTCTTTCTATGAGATTATTGATTTATTTGATTTTGGATAATTATTATTTAAATTTTACTATATCTGAGATACCTGAGATATCTAAGATACTTTTAATCCTTAAGACTTTACAATTTAACTTTAAACAAATGGGTTTTATTGTGATTAATTGATTTATTTATATTTTTTCTATTCTTCTTAAACAATTTCTTAAGGATCACCAAAATGCCCTAACAACATAAATAAAGCTTTTGATTCTGTTTTTAAATTCTATTCAATAATTANATATACTCTCTAAAGATTAGAAGAACTTGGTTAAGATTATTATCTTGGAAGATTAGCGATTAATGAAATTGAAGACTTTAGAATGGACAAAGTAATTAAGAAAAATATTTGAGTATTATTATATTAAAAATGGGAAATGGTACTTGTAAACAATAATTTCCTTCTTTTGCTACAATCAATCATAGTGATCAAAAGTAACATCTTCCAAATTCCTAATCTTAAAGTCCTACAAAACCTACCATTGATTCTATCAATCCAACTATCGCTAAAATAGAAGACGAGGGACCTAATATTAGTTTTGAAGGAGAGGTGGATGATTGCTCAATATCTAAACTATCATAAGTTGAATCACCTACTAAAGAGATTTCAAAAAAAAGGTACTCATATGAGGATTAATTTTTCCTTGAGTTATTCTCTAAGGATAAAACCTTTTTTAGAAGATCATCTCAAGGATAAAGCATTAGCCCTGTTAGAATTATATCCACTTAACACTAAAAAAATAAAACTTCATTTATTATCGAACATAAAGAACTAATTAAATTAAGATAAGAAGATGCAAATGAAATTTATATACCTAAATCAATACTTAAATCCAGTTATTGTTCTGAAAAATCTTTTTCAAGTCAATCAAAAAAAAAAGTTAAGTTTGGTTTGATTTATAAATAAATATGACTATATATAATACATACATATTTCAAAGTAATTCAAATTATTTCAATAATGACTATTCATCATAATTTAATGATATATTTCCAAGCATTGTCAAAGATGGTTTAGTTGCATCTTCTCTTAATTCTTTAAATGGATCCTCTTTCTATGAGATTATTGATTTATTTGATTTTGGATAATTATTATTTAAATTTTACTATATCTGAGATACCTGAGATATCTAAGATACTTTTAATCCTTAAGACTTTACAATTTAACTTTAAACAAATGGGTTTTATTGTGATTAATTGATTTATTTATATTTTTTCTATTCTTCTTAAACAATTTCTTAAGGATCACCAAAATGCCCTAACAACATAAATAAAGCTTTTGATTCTGTTTTTAAATTCTATTCAATAATTATTATTTAAATATACTTATTAGATTTCCAAATAAAAATGAGCTATAACAGGTTTAATTTACTCATTCAATTCAAAAGATCTAAGATTTATAATAAACTTAATTAAAGAAATAATCTAAGATCTAAATTATTATCTTCTTATGTTTTCATCTGGACTCCTATTCAAAATTTATTTTGGATTACTCTTTATATGTTCCTAATAATTACCATAATACTCAGAAATTGCAATTTTTACAAGATTAAATGTGAATTCTTATACTGGATTTAATTTTATAAATCTTGTTAACAGTAATTATATCTACTAAAAAGCCAATTAATAAAACATGATAGAACTTAAATATAACTTACTTAACATATCAAGCATTAAAATAGTCACATTAACATCAATTTTTGGATGAGTGCAAACAGATTTTAGTAATTAAAAGTCAACAATGTTAATTTATATTTCATTTTATTCAATCTAAAGTTACTTTACCATAGGAATTATTAAAATATCAATAGGAATTGTTGAATATTTTCTAATAAGCATTAAGAAATTGGCTACCAAAAACTCTCTAACTTCTTTTTAATCAAAATTTTCAATAAGTGAAAATACTAATTTTTTATATAACAAAGCTGCATATTTATCTTTTTATAAAGCTAAGTTATCTAAGATTCTAAATAAACTCTAATAAGTAAATATTCTCATTGTAAAACTAGCTTCTCTAGTAGCCTTTCTTGAATTTAATAAATATTATTCTATTTGATTTGGAACAAATTATTCTGGATAATATATCCAATAATGTTCAAAATATTTCAGAGCTGTCATTCTCTCCATTATAGTATGTTTAGTTTCAAATAATTTAATAGCATGAGATGCAAATAATTCAAAAAGATTTAATTCTTACATTTGGTCTCTAATAGGTATTATTTGAATGATTCCATTAATAAAATCTATATATTCTTTTCCAGATTTCAAAATTTTTCTTAATTATACATCAAAAAAGTCAACAACATTATATTAAGAAACAATACTATAAATTTTACATATTTATTCTAAATATTAGTGATGACGTTATTATGATAAAATCAATGCAATTAAACCTCCATGTTCTCTTACAAGCCAAGCATACACATCTTCTAATAACTCTTTTTAAGGCAAATTAATTAAAATTCCTTCAATTATATATAATGTCCAATAGCATACTTCATTACTTTATGAAACTAAACCAGCTTTAAGTAGAGTCAATAAAATATCTATTTTGTAAGTTACAAATTTAATTATATGATTAATATATTTAGACAATTCCATTAGCCAATTTATAACATTCTTGAATCCTTTATTACCTTTTATTAGAACATTTGATAATTATTTATAATTCTAATTAAGCAGTGTTACTGCCTGCTTTGGTTTTAAAGTGAAATGTTTACAAAGAGATACTATAATAAATTCTAAAAGAGATTGTGTTTAATTCAAAGGCTTTTCAGGATCAATCTCATCTATACTTATTTCTTATGGCTCGTTTTATTATGAATCAAACCTAGTTGTTGTACTCACTTGTTCTTCAATATAAAATGCTAATTCATAATGTTATTTTAATTCTTTCAAAAATTACATTAACATCTAAAAATCTCCTTTGACAATTGAAACTACATAGATGCAAATTTTGTACTTTTGATATCATCATCTAATGTTATGTTAATCTACTGTAAACTTCTACATACATTATTCCAATTAAATAATCGTATACCATTACTATTACCTTATTTGACATCTACATCAATTTTTTAATCAAATTATTTTAGGATCTAACTAATTATTATTCCATTCAAGAATTGTTCTTCCAAAGCCTAATCAACATGAGCAAATAAATTATTGATTGGCAATTCTTATAACACATTTATTTTTACAAGCCACTGATAAATATCGAGATCAAGTTTCATATTGAAAAATAATTTATAATATTTTATTCTATAATTTTCATTCCTATTTTCAAAAATAATATTATTTTATGTTGAAACTTTTGATCGTAACATTTAATTTTTATCTCCTAACCTGAGAAAATAATATTAATATTTATCTAGATGTATTACATTTATTTTGCTTACAATTTCAATTATTGAGATAATGAATTAATTATTATTTCTATACTATTACATTCAAAATATAAAATAAATAAATTACAAATGCAAACATTTTTAAATTATAAATTACTTGTTACTCTAGGTTGGCATGATGTTGTAAAATTGTTTAAATGATGAAGAAATACTTATTTTTTTTGTTTTAATAAAAATTTTTAAAATGATATGATATACTTATGATAAAGATAAAAGTGAATATCATTCAAAATATTTGAAATCTTCAGTATCTAAATCTTCATAATTCTCTTGCTTAATTTCAACTTATTTTTCTATAGGTCTTGATCTGAACATGTTTAGTCTTCCGCTCTTTTTTTTACTGGGCTACATTAATTTTAATTAATTAATTCTATTCCTTGAAGCTTCTTCTTCTCTCTATCTATCAGCATTTTCTTTTCTTTTATCTGCTTTGCCTTTATTATCGATTTCTTATTTCTAATTGCATTTAATTAATTTTTACATAATGATATACTCTTTCAGGTTTAAAAGTCTTTACTTATTTCAGAAGTTTTTCTATCAATTATTCTATTAGGCCTAAAATAAATAAACTTGGTCTAGTTTAAATATCCTAAACTTATATCATATCTATTTGAAATAGCTAATAAACTTCAATAATTTATTATGCTAAATCTTTTTACTCTTTTCCAGATGCCTTAATTATTCCACCTAATTACATGTCTTTCAATTCTTGTGTCATTTACTTAATAAAATAGAATTAATTGATACATCTAATTTTTTTTTTAATGTTTCTTTCTGTTCATGCAATTATTATATTTTGATGCTTTTTTCATGTTATAATTTTTGAAATTTAGATTTAACTTCTTCTAGATTTTGTTCTGTTTCTTAAGCTGTTTAAATTAGGAATAAATTTCTCTCTTCTAAATCATTGAAAATATTAATTAATTATGATGGTTGTTTAAAATACATTTCAAATTCATCTTCAAAATCTTCTAATTCTTCTGAACTGAAATTAATTAATTAAAATACAATTAAACTGCTTAATCAGAATTATTAGATTTCAAAAGTTTGCCTTCAATAACAATATTTTCTTTAAGATTGTCAAGTAGTAAGCTTTTTAATTTTGCTTTATTATCATGCCATTCTTTAGGAGCTAATTTGTCCAAAAACTATTTATGATCTATATAAGCAGTTATTAATTCTTCCATTCTTTATTTTTCACCTCTAATGCTTGTCATTTTTATATTAAGTTGTTTAATTATAGTCTCTTTAGCTTTTTTATCTTTTATTTCGTTTTCTAATTTCAGTTCTGCATCAGCTCTAGCTGCTTTATTTGTATCTAGAAATTACTAAAAATTATCAGCATCTTATTAAAGCATTTTTAAACTTTAAAGAAACACTTCCTGTTTTTCTTTTTAATCTTCTTTCATTTTTTTAATTTCATTTTCCATTGTATTATAAGATTGAGAAATCAAAAATAATTATCTTTTGTCCTCTATTATTTTAACATTAGAAACTAAACTAATTCCTTTTTTGTTCTATTCTTCTTTTTCTAATTTACGTTCTTTAATGATATTAATCGCATCATTAATTTTTTATTAATCCTTTTGTTTGAATAGTTTATTATTCTTTGTGTAATTTTCATCATATGGTGTACTAACTTTCTGTTAATATTAAATAATTTTAAATACTTCAAATCTAGTTAATTAGGTTCTACTTGTAGCTGTTTCTTTATTCCAAACATTTGCACCTGGTTTATGAAAAGAAAGTTATTTTTTAAACTTACTGTCATTATAAAGAAAAATCTCCTCATCAGATGGATATTTAAATGGACTACTACTAGTTGTTCGAACACTGATATCTAATTTAGGAAATATTAATCTTAAACTCATAATTATTTTAAAAATATTTCATGTTTCATATGTCTTTCTGAAATCAAAGCTATCTTTTTGCAAATGTTCAAAATTTTAGGTTCTTCAAATTAATTTTATTGAATTGTGGATAATAATTATACCTAAAAAATAAAAGAAATATACATTAAATCTTAAACACTCAACTTCATATTGGTTTTGTATTTAAAATGAATCAAAAGATTAAAAAATGTAGTAATACAATTTAATAAGTTATCGTTATTACCTTTTAATTCTATAAGTCAAATAATAGTATTTTATAAAAGTTAATGGAAGTGTTATATCCTCAAAGAGTGTTCTTACTTTATTTTTTTCATTTAATAATTTAGAAATTTAAGAAAAGTTTGTTTAAATTTCTTGTACGTATTATTTTAATTTTTCGTAGTAATAAGATTACATAATATCACCGATAGTTGGTGGTTAACATCCTTCTAATCTAAAAAGCATTTTTTAGTTAAACACTTTATCATCATTTTTAAGTGAATTAACATAATTAATAGATGCAATTTCTTATTGTTGATTATTTTAAAAACATAATGGATATATAAATAATGGTAATTAATCTATTTTTCTTGATAAATTAAAAACATGATATTTCTTAAAAGTAATAATCATTCCTTCGGAAAATTATAACATTAGATCAAGAATACCAGCCAAGAGAATTTTCCTGGTTGTGATTCTTTACTGCTAATAAAAAAAGTCAATTAAGGAGATGAAAATATATACAGGTATCAAAAAGTAGAGGAAATTAATAATTCTTTTACTAATTGTTGTTGGTTTAATAGAATTAAATAAAGCATATTTAAAGTATTAAGGATATGTTTATAAAATTTAATTTTAATGTGGTGGTGAGACTGGTAATTATCTTATAAATTTATATCCATTGTAAATAACATAACAAATTGTAAAGATATTATTTAGTAAACCTCCACCCCATAGTTAATTACAGAGAAGGAATTGTAGTATCAGAATTATAAAAAAGTAAGCCAAAGCTTTGTCAGAGTTTTCTAATTGATTAATCAAAATTAAGTACTTGAAAAATAAAACACATGTAATCCCAACACATGAAATCCATTTACCAATATTATTAAACAAATAAAAGTTTTTCCTATATAATTTAAATAATATGCGGTAAAGCCAACAATCAAAATTAAGATTGTTGTCGATACTATAGTTGCAAACATTTATGTGAAAGATTCTTTTCCTTCAAATAATTAGGTAAATTCTAATCTGTTAACACGATTAGAAAAATAAAATTTGACTTAATTAACCAAAGGAGATTCTAATTGTTAAGGAGCCTTATTTGGATTTAAAATTTTAATTGGATTTTCGGGTTTTGTAAAATCTTAAAATTGTTACTATTCTAAGAAGTGATTTGTCATTCTTTCCTTTCTTCTTTATATATCATAAGTTAGTCTATTTTAGTTCATTAATTTAATAATTTAATGAGTTTAGATAAACAATCAAGATAATATGAAGTTATCCTTGAAATAGGATGTGCTTATACAAAAGTTGGATTTTCTTTAGATACTCAACCAAAGAAGGTGATAAAATTGAATTTTGAGAAACCTCTTTAGAAATCCCGATTATCGTATGAATTATCCGTGGAAGAGAAATTGTATTAGATATTTAATGTTGATATGGTTTGTAATTTGAAAGGAAGATCAGTGGCTTTAATTTATAACTATTATAACAATGAGGATATGTATAACATAATAGCATATGTGTTATTTTATAAATTTGAGGTAGCAAAGATTGCATTTTTAATTGGGAATGTGTTACCATTATATTTAACAGGACATTTTTCAGGTTTTGTTATAGATTTAGGATATAATTGTTCAACTGTTAGTGCTGTGTATGATGGTTATTCTTTATTACATTAGACTGGTTATATAGGTGAAGGAGGAAGAGAATCAGCTAAAAGAATTTAATAATTAGTACCTGATTATTCTTGGGAGTAATTAGAAGATATAGCAATTAAATATGCTAAAGTATTAAATCCAGGAGATATAGATGACAAATAAAAAATTAAATTAAGACATGCCGAAATCTCAGAATTTGAATTAGCTAAATGCTACACAGAAACTTACTTTGGAAATTATAAAGAAGAAGAATCAAATATTGCATTTGGATTTTTAAAGATTGTTTCTTAAATGAAAGATAGAGACATCATAACTAAGATGGCATAAAATATTGTTATAACTGGAGGAGCAAGAAGAATTCCTAATTTATTAATGAGATTCAAGAATGAATTACTCTCATTATTAGAAACAGAATTTTCATCTATTAGAAATATCAAATTCTATATAACAAATTTAATTACATAGCATTCTACTTGGGTAGGTGGTGCTCTTATTGTTTAAATTGGTGGTTATGATAAATTTATTGTAACTAATTCTAAATTTAGGGAAAATGGAAATCTATTTTGTACAAGATCAGATGCCTATAATTTTATTTCAATTAAACCATGAGATTGCTTTTATTATTATTTATATAATAATTCATTTCTATTTTTATTTTATTCATTGCATCAACTTTAATTAGTTTATTTTTGTAAATGTCTGATACAGTCATCAATAAAATTCTTGAATCTTATGGGTATTTTAATTCAATATTCCAAGTTACAAAGTAGCTTAACCTTAATTCAAGAGTATTATATATCCTATAGAATAACTAAAAAATTCTATTGATGATCATCAATTAAAACAAATATCACCTGAATTATAACAAATTTTAGAAAGTGAAAGAGCCAGAGAAATGGTTTAAAAGAGAGGAATTACACTTGAGAGAACTAAATAATTCTTCTAAGAGAAAATTAAAGAATATAATGCTATAATTGATTTATAACATTTAAGATCTGGATAATCATATGTAACTCCAAAAAAAGATAATATTTTCAAAAGACATACAGCAGATTAAGGAGAAATCACTAATTATCATTTTGTACTTAATTGGTAAAATTTGAATTTGGTTTTTGATGAATTAGAAAATTAATCCAAAACAGCAAAATTTTAATATCAATCTAGAACTCCAGAATAATCTTCTACTCAAATAAATAAACCTTAGACATATATTAAATTTTCAAATAAAAAAGGAAATTTAGTAAACAGATTAGATAAAATGCTTAATGATTATGATACGAAAATGTCTTAATCAATTACAACAAATTTACCAGAATCTAGAAGAATTTCTATGTTAGAAACCCCTCATAATAAATGTATTATTTTATCAACAAATTAAACTAGTTAAAAGACGAAATAGTCTAAATCCAACACCAGTTAAGAAATATGTTAAATTTCAAAACTTTTTAAAAACTGTAAATATTCTTTAAAAAAATTCAGATGAACAAATAGAACCTGAAAATAGATAAGTTCAAATTTTTAAGTATACATTTAGGATTTAATAAAAACATATATTCATGATGCATTTAATAGAGAAAAACTATCTACAGATTCTTCTTAAAGGGAGAGGGCGAAATCATAACAAGAAAATAGAAAAAAAAATAAAAAGTTGTTAGAAGAATTAAATAGAATGAATTAAACTTAGGATTTAAAAAATCCATAATTTAAATTAACGAATAATTAAATACCTATCTATGAAGATGTTTGTAATAATTTGTTATAATTAGAGTTTAAAACTATTGATCAAAATTAAATCAAATAAGAGAAAGAGAGAAGGAATAGAATAATTTAATCAGTTAATTCAAGAATGCAGCCAAAATATGTTCATTTAGGTGGAAGTCGATATGCTGTAAAAAATAACTTTAAAAATTAATAAATTTATTAAAAAACAATCAATAAATTATTGGAAAATTAAATTAAAGAAGAGTTTAAGAAATTAAAAATATATGATGATGGAATAGATTTAGATGTCTTGGAAGGACCACCTAGAAAAATTGATTATCATTCATCTAATTTAAATTAGGATTACAATGATGTTAAAGTAACAAAAATTGTATAAAAAATGAAAAGATGATTTTATTGAATTTGTATTTTTATACTAATGAAAAATAACATTTATATTTAAAATAATTTTATTATTTTATGAAATAATCTAAAGGTAGTACATCTGTGGATTGCCTTTATATGGAATTAATGCTTAATAAGTAAATGAGATCAAATATACGTATGATACATAACAGAATTTTAAATCCAAAGCTATCGACACCAAAACCTTTTTCAAAAATTGAAAATAGGAAAATTGCAAGTAGATTAAATAGTTACTGTAAGAGGATTCAAAAGATTAGTAGTAAATGATTATCGAGTTTTAAGACAATAAGATATAAATGAGTAAATTATATTAACCTATGGTTATTCATTCTCATAGAGTCATTTAGAATAATAAAAATTGTACAATTAAAAGTCCTAAATTTAAAAGAAGTTGTTTTCATATGGATAATGGATAAATTAGTTTAAAATATTAACATTATTTAAAAAAAGGAGGTCAATATACAATATAACAATAATCATAGGAGACAAAACCTTGGCACCCTCATATTAAAATAAAAAGAAAACAGCATATTTAAATCTTACTTGAGTCAAAATAAAGTTAAGATTCTTAACCAATTCAGGGTAAGACTTGCTTTTAACCAATAAGCGATTTAAGTGGATGGCAAACTTAAGAAGATCCTTAAATAGAAATACAATGATTGTAATTAAAATATATCATTATCAAATTCTGTAATTTCACAACCTTTATCTTGAATGTTGTTGGGTTAATGGTCTAATTAAAACATTAGGAAGACCCTCAGTTTTTCCAGATATAATTCTTTTAGATTAATTGACCTTTTTAACTTCTTATAAATAAAGCTATTTATATTCATCTCTTTCCTTTATTAAAGTATTTATATCATTATTTGATTATAGAATCTCTAATTCAGCTACTCGTTTTTACAATTCTTTTTCTCTCGCTAAAACCTAAACTAATTCATCTCTTATCATGCTAGCAAACTATCTTAAGGTTGGTTCCTGCATTTCTGCAAGATTCATTTTAATATTGTTATGTTCCAAAAACTATGACATTTACATAGGTTTTAAGATGACCTTATCTTTAATTCCATCTAATTTAGTATTCTTTAAACTTCTTTAATCAAGATATTTGAAAAGGCTTATAAAATATAATAATATATTTACTTTTTAAATTTGTTTCTAGTAGGTATATGAGGTTTATCCATAGCTGGAATATTGAATGATCTTATTCCTGAACTATAGGCTCCATTCTCTATTTTTTCAATGACTCTAAATGTTTTCATTACTATATCATATAACTCAAATAGTTCAGACTTCATATCCCTTATTTACATTCTATAACATTAATTTTAGTTAATTACTTCTTTTTTTCTTAATATTTTTTAAATTGATGAATAAAGTGATCTATCTCTTCATTTTTCTTTTATAAGTATTTTTCATATTAATCTGTACTATCTTACAAGAACTTTGCATATTCTGCTTTCAAATTTTCCATTTATTATTTATACCTAACTTATAATAAAGTTTTTACTCTTTTTCTAATTCAAGTTTTGCTAATCTTTTGATATCTTCATGTTTTTATACTTCTTAAGTCTTTGCTTAAATTGCTTATGGTAAATTAATAATAACATTCACTTTTTTTTCTATCACTTCTTAATGTTCTTTTAATTGTTTTTTCACAGTTTCTAAAACTTTATCATTTTTTTCTTATTCAATTTATTCTAACTGTTATTTTTTTTCAGCTTACAACTCTTTTAATTTTCTTATATCTTCATTTAATTCAATAATTCTGCATTATTATCTTTCTAATTTAACACTCTCTTCTTTTTTCAATAATTCTTTTTCTTTTTATATTTTATCAATCATTTATTCAGCCTCTTTTAATTAAGTTGTAAGTGATTCTAATTTTTGCATAGCTTCTTTTTATATTTTAAACTTCTACAATTCTTATGCACTTGATCTAGCAAATAGTTTTTCTAAATCCATATCAATTCCTAATAATGTTTAAATCTCTGATATTTTTTATTTATGTTCTTTTGTCATATAATCTATCTTTTATTTTAATTCATTAATTTCATTTTATAATTTATTAATTAATTTATCTTATCCAGGAAAAGGACCTGGTTAATTAGGATTGTCATCAATTGGTTAGGCAGCTGTCACTCCCTTTGTTCTTTCTGCATATTATAAAGCTGATAAACATTCTTCAAAATTATTTTCATTTGGATTAATATGAACCATCAAAGCCACTTAACTTTAACTATTTAGACAATTTTATAATATTCTAGTCAATTTTGAATCTCTATAAGGAATATTTTTAGAATTCATTTAAGAAATTGCTGTCAAACATTTGGATAATGCAGTCAAACTTTAATTAATTAAAATAGCTTCCTAAAACTATCCTTCTTAAGTTAAACTTTTTGCTATTCTTTCTGAACCTGCCAAATCTATAAATTAAATAAATGCATTCATAAATGGTAAATTCTCATTTTCTTTATCTTTTTAAACTAGATTTAAAGTAATTATTGTATGACATTTCTAACCAAATGGTTTGCTTTGTTATTCAAGTTTTTCTCTTAATTGAAAACCCATTTATATCATATCATTTAATTCTTAAGCAGATCTAATTGGTATTGATGTTAAATCTTTAATCATTATTTATCCATTAGTATTTTCATAGATTGTCAAATTTTCATTCTCATAATTTTATATTATTTAATTCATATTTCCTGATTAACGAGATTGATAAGCTTTACCTAAATCTCTTACTTAATCCAAAAATAATTCAGCTATACTTACAGTTATTACAAATTCTCGAATTTCTTCAAATTCTTAGGATTTAGAAAGTAGATATTCTATAGCCCTTGTTACAATGCCCTTCTTGTCTGGCTTATTTTCTTCTCCTTCCTAACCAAATAATGTGTAACTCTTCCCACTTCCAGTCTATCCATAACTCAAAACACAAGAATTATGGCCTTCTATTAGTTTCTGTAACATAGGTTCTGTTACTTTAAAGGCATGTTCCTATGTTGTACAAACTGAAGAAAATGAAACTATCTTGCTTTCTGCATTTTTATTAGTCGGATCCTTTAATTTAATATTTATATACTCTTATTGAAATACTCTCATTCGTGAAGTCAACCATCTTCTGTTGATAATCAATTGGTCTCACTCTTGCAAATATTTTATAATTTTGATTAGCATTAGTAATTCGGTTTTACATTCTAATTATTATTTATTTTAATAATGTCTAAAAATCATATGGAAGGGTTAAATATACTTAAAGTGGCTATCCTCTAACTTAAATCAATTAAATATACTTAATTTACTAGAAATAAAATTCGAAAAATTCTTTCATTGAAATACAATAAAACTCTTTAATAAGACCCTTTAAAATTTAGAAATGAATGCTTTGCCTATTATAGTCTTATGAAATAGGAATTACATCAAAAAGATTTAACAATAACTACTGCAGAACACTTAAAGAAAACTATGAAAAATAATTATTGGGTAAAATGATTATCAACTTAAATAAACACCAATAATATATTTAATATATAATGCACTCTCAAAGATCATCCCATTTTGAAGTTAACTCTTCCTGTTCTAAAGGAGTATTTTCCTTTGATTTTCTATACTGCTTAGCATGTCTCAATCTTTACATTATATTCTTTAAAAAATTACCTTCTTACTACCGATGAACATGGTCTTGCTCCATGATTAGCCTTCTTAGGAGCTCTGGCATTTCTATTCATTTGAAGTATTGCTTCATCAAATATCGAAGGAATTCTTGTGATAAACTCCATAAAGAAGCTTCTAGTTAATAATTTTGTTTACATAATAAAATATTATATATAAATTTACTTCTCTAAAAAGGTACTTATGATTCTCTTCAGACATTAGACAATAATATAGTTTATACGAGAAATAAGTATTATATATTTCATTTTACTAAACTATTTAATCTTCATTGATGAGATTATAGTATTAAGTTTTATTTTCCACTTAAACTATATACATAAACTAAATATATAATTATGATTAGTTCCCTAAGTAAATAATCATATATTATATATCTTTTTTTATTTAAATATTCTTTAAATGACTTTTTTGAAAACTAAGAGAAATTAAAAAAAAGCAGACAAAACTAAAAGTCAATAATTATTGATCCTAAACTTAAAGATGCCTTATATTATTGAAAAATTGTCGATGAACGACATACCTTCATTACATATTTAATCTAACGGTGAATATTAAAGACAAATTTGTTATAAAAAAATGTTTTTTATCAAGATTTTCGATTATAAGATAAAATTTGATTAAGAAGCGTATATATAAGAATAAAAAATTTTATCAAGCAAAATTTAATATTTTCATGCTAAAAAGCCATTTAAGGAAATTGATTTTAGTTTGGTCAAATTGTGTTTTAAATTTAACATAGGTCTCAAATAATGATATTTATCTAAATTGTCATGCAATTTTGTCAACATATTAATTGCATATATACAATTTATAGAGTTCTTGAATTGAAATTAAACATTTTTGTTTGAGCGGCATCCCTATATAAAATTAGTTTTTAAATTGAACTTTTTATTTTTATACACACTAAATAATAAAGATAAATGGACTTATGTTTCTGTACAAAAACCAAGACAATTATTAAGGTTTAATATAATTTTTTGGCTTGCAAAGAATGTATATATTTATTAAAATAAGTTGTCAAAATTTTCAATCTTTCAATCTTTCAATCTCTTAAAAAAGATGAATGATTAAAATAAAGGATCTGAAAAATAAGAAATAAATAATTTATAAAGCTTATTTGAACCGTAAACTGTAGTTTGTAGAGGCTAATTTAATAAAGAAATTTAGATATTAGTGAATAAATCATTAGGGGATAAGATGGCTTATTTAGATGTCTTAAAATACAAGAGTGCCTTAGCAAAGAAGATTTTAAGTTCACAAATCTGAATGATGAATATTATCTTGATAAATAAAAATATATATACTAAGTAGCTAATTCTTAAATATGTCCTTTAGAATTCATATGAGATGTTCTGATAAATATAATGTCGGTAGTTTAAAAAATGTGATGTTTTATTTAATAAAATGAGCGATTGAATGTATAAAAATTTTAAAGTATTGAAAATTAGAAAATGAGATATTATTGAATAATTGATATATATATAAAAATTTGAAATAATATAAATGAATAGAGATTTAGGGAAAAAGTATTTAATAAATTATAATTATAAATGTTAATACTACTTGCATCACTATTTTCAATAGCAAAGAGTGGATCGATTCTGAGACCAATAGGAGTGACTCCAATCTGGAATTCGGTGGCAAACGCAAATGTCGAGGCCTAATACATATTTAGTTATGTTTTGGAAACATACTTGGCATCTAACTCTTAAATAGTAGTTGAGTTTCCATTACAATATGTTTCTGGGTTGGGAATAACATAAACTGATTTGGTGTGTATTCCAAGTTGCGTGATTTCAGGGAGATCAGTGATCTTCACATATCCAGAGGAGATGAAGAATGGGACTAGTAAGAAAGTGGAATGCTAATAGTCTACACGGCATCTGTGTAACCAGTAAGGAATCCAGCCACATAAGGTGGGACAGCTAATTTCATTTTACGTAGTAAGAGAGGAGATAATGTGATTGATGAGAACTTGATTTTCGGTATCATTGGAATAGCAGATGCCATAAATACCATGGTTTTCGGAGAGGTTGTTGTATATCCCAAAGGTTCCTTTTATGCAGGAGTAAAACTTTAATACATATCATTAAGGATTATACTTAATATATTTTGAAATTCAAGACAACTACAACTATAATATATAATTCCTATATGTTATTTACAGTTCCTAATGATTTTGAATTGGAACCCTTTCCAGTTTGCAGTCCATATCCAATAAATGGAATACAATTAGATGGAACCTTATTTTGTTCCTAAGTTAATTCTACAAATGTTGTAAAAATTGAAGGAATCACAGGACATGTGATTGGATTATAAGAATACGCACTAAAAATTTCTATGAGAAATCCTAAATATGCAGGAACTACTAAATCTTTCAATTTGGGAATCTATAAAGCTTATACTCAGATGATGTTTGAAGAGGTTAAAGGAATTAGTGGAGTTACAATCTAGGCTGCTTAATTATAAAATGTTTCCATGACTTAAGTTTATAGTTTTATCAATTCCAGATCTAGAATTATGGATTATGAAGTTAGATTCACTCCCACTTTTCCTATTCCTTCAGGTTGTAATATCAAGTTAATCTTCCCTGTCTATATGTAAATTGTCTAACCTCCTGATTATAATTAAGCAGGATAATTTTAAATGAACTATGTCAAATATGGACTAGAGGATATCAGTGAAGATAGCCCTGTTGGTTTCTATTATTAGGATGCCATACAAAACTATCTTAGAATTACTAATTTTTAAGAAATGACTATGAATAATGAAATTTGTATTGTTGTCAGAGTTATAAACCCTAGTGTTGAAGGATACACCACTCCTCTCAAATTATATGTATTTTAAGATATCACTGAATATCAATTATTATAATCTGATGTTTTATATGCTATTGCTGATGTTTCAACTGTTGGAGCAGGTAATCAAAATGTACCTACAACAAACACTAATAATTGGTTTTTGAAACCTAGAACTGGATTCTTTCCAAATTATTAAGATTATTCAATTACAAATAATATTGCCAATGGTGCTTTAGCAACTTTAACTTTCAATATTGATCCTACTGCCACTGTTCCTAAATTTGCTTACATTTACATTACTGCTCCGAAAGAATTCAAAGTCAATAATGATACAACTACTGGAGTTAACGCTGCCAATTGTAAATTTTATTTACAATCAAATTCACCAACTTTAAATGGCTTCATTTCTCCTAGTAATTCTTTATCATGTACGGCAACTGATTAAATTGTTAAGGCTTAGTTACCATTTGCATTTGATATCATCCAATATCCATCTTAAGCTTTACCTGCTGCACCCTTAAGAAATTAATGGTAAATATAATTAACCAATGCATTCTACACCCCAGGATTAAATGGAACATATTTTTTTGATATTACTCTTAAAGACACAGATGATCTAACTGTTCTCGATTCATTTTCTTTTCCGATTTAAATAAATGCAAATTTATTAACTGGTAGTATTGTGAATTCAATTCCAAAGAATTCAAAAGAGAAAGGAATAGTTGACATTTAATTCATTACAGTTCTTTAAATACCCTCAGGATAGAAATAGAATCGTGCATCAGATACAAGAGGTTTTGTTGAATTTCATTTCAGTAGTGCTTGGGATTAGGACTTAGGATCTGGTGTGAGTGATGGTGGAAGAATTCCTTGTTATGGTGTTAATGCTTTTATACCATATGAAGGTAATTAATTAAAATGTATTTTGTTTTACTCAACTGCCTCATCAAAAACAATAGTAAGGGTAACAAATTTTAGAGAAATTGCAACAAACACGAATGTCAGAATAATGATATCTGGTGTTACAAATCCAAATGGTGCCAGTTATGATATTGACATTAAAGTATTTTAGAAAAAGAATCGAATATTCACTTTACTGAATCAATAATTAGGAGTTACTAGCACATTAAATGCTGCTCCAGTAACAACAACTTGTACAACAGCTCCTTCATATTCAGAAAATAAGGTAGGATATTTATTTGATATCAATATAACTCCTTGTTTGACAACTGCAATATCTGCAGGATTCTACATCCTGATATAATTACCTAAATATGATATTGGATTTATTAGGGAAGACAATACCATCACTTGTTCGCTCACTTCACAATTATATTGTATTCCTTTATTAGGATCTGACTTTATTTTAATAGTGACATCTACTGTAGTGGCACTCTCCCCTATTCCAGTCTTTAAAATAAGCAATTTATAATGGCCTAGATACGTCGAAGACTTTTCAACTTATGCATTGAACTTCTTGGTAATAAATAATGTTGGTTTGGGAATTGTCTAAAAATATTAATTTAGTAGTTTAACAAATTGTGTTCCTGCTTAATTTTCAGCCATTTAATCTCTAGTATCTAATAAGGGAAAAGGATTTGTAGATGCCACCTATTCATTTACATTCACCCCTCAAGCTGACATTCCTTAGGGATCAACAATAATAGTTGAATTTCCACCTTTCTATGATTTTCTAAATGGTATACACTTGCCTACTTTTTCTTAGAATGGTTTGTAAGATCTAGCTGATAAAAATAAAGTATCTATACAGGTAAACTTAAAATTGATTAAAATTACTGGATTTTAATAGTTCAATAAATCAAATTCCTTTCAAGTAGTAGCTGTGTCTGTGAAAAATTCACAATCATACAACACGGCATCTGGGTTTCACGTATATGTGATGTTTAAGGGAAAATATGTTTTGCAATAACTTAACTTTTACAGTTTTGATTTTACAACTCCGTTTAAAGCAGGGAAGATAGTAATTAATTAAATAACTGCTTCAATTTTGAATGCAGACGAAGAAGTTGATTATCTGATTCAATTCACTCCTTAAAATGATATACCGATAGGTGGACAAATTAAAGTAATGTTCCCAGATGAAAATTACAAAAAATTGCCATCGATTCCAGATTGTCGTGTTAGTGGAGGAATCAATACATTTTAATCTTGCATACTAAATGGTAAAACATTTATAATTGAAACAAACAGCAGATATAAAGCAGGCAATGGAGTGATTGATCTTATTATAAAAGGAGTTTAAAATCCAGATTAAGGAACAACTTAAGGTTTTGTGATTTAAACAGAATATGATGGAGTAAAATTAGATGGAACTGATGAGTCAAACCTGAATGGAAGAACATTCACATCAGCCTCTAAGACTAATCCTATAACTCTTCTTTCTCTGGTATTTGATCCTAAAAATGAAGGAGAAGAGGCTTCTTATCGATTTAAATTCCTACCTTATTCATCATTATCTACAATATCTCAAATTGAATTTAAATTTCCAACTTAATTCGATCCTTTATTAGGAAGGGATATCTAATGTATAGTAAACACTGGTCTATCAGGAGGTACTTACACATGCAGTGTAGATTCTAGAATTGTTACACTAAAAGGTTATGATTCATACACTCCAGAAATCACAAATCCTATAGACATAACCATTTTCGGTATTGTCAATCCTAATTCAAATGGTGGATCTACCACTGATTTTCTAAAACTTTATATCAGATAACAAGGCAGTAACATTTATGATCAATCTAATTAAGAGATTGCTTAATTATCCTTTCTCTCTGCACCAGGATGGTCTCCTTTAATTTCAATAGATGTTTCTACATTTAATGTAAGATGGAATTCAACATACAATTTTACATTTTAGACTTATAAAAACATTCCAAAACTTTCAGCAAAAGGATCAGTTTTAATTGATTATCCATCTCAATTTGAAATTCTGGATGGCTCTATCACATGTTCAAGTACCATTTAATTTGCAGCTACCTTAAAATGTTCTTCATATCGTAATCGAGTTACCTCTTCTGGTAATTACGAAGATTATGTTGGTAGAATGTATATTCAACTTAAGAAAGTCTTAAATCCTATTGAAAAAGGAGAGAGTGATTTCTTTTACATTAGAACTTATGATGGTCTTAATTTAAGAATTATTGAAAGAAACTTTGCTAATTTAGATCCTTTTAAATTTTCATATTATTTTCCTGGTCCACTTATAAAAGTCAATAATGAAAAAACTTTAACAATTGAAAGAGGTACATAATCTATCAATATTCCTATTTCAATTGAATTTCCTTGTCTACTCAATCTAAAATTAATTCCATCAGAAACAGAATTCATAGTTAAACCAGCCTCCATTCCATTAACTCTTGGAATGACATTGCAATATTTCAATATATCTGTTCCTTAATCTATATATGATGGCACCTACACAATCTATTGGACTTTAGATAATGAATTAGATCCACCTCTATACACTCCAGTCAAAAGAACCTTAATCACTATAACTAAAAAACAAGGGGTCAAAATTAACCAAACTCCTATTCTTTCCATTCCAATACAAGGCTAATCTCTCTTGACAGAATATGTGTTAGCTGCTCCTCCAGATACTGAATTAGCTTTTAGTTTATATCTACAAAGAGCCTATTATGGTATCCAGTTATCAACAAAATCAATTATTGTTCCTGCTGGCTAATAAAAATTTGGATTTGCTGTTGTCTACAATAAATCTGCCAATGTTGAAGGACCTTAAGTAGAAAGAGGATACATCACAATTCAAACTGAAGGAGTCAATAAAAACATCTATTAGTTAGCATCTACTAGTGTTGAATTCTTCATTATTTCTTAAGATACTAAATCTCCTGATTGGGTGACATGCAAAATTAATACTGTTAAAAAAACATCTGTCAACTTATTAGTAGCTTTGAATGAGCCTTGTGTTGTATATTACTTGATTGCATTAAAAGGAACAATATTTCCTACTTTGAGTGACTTTTAGAATTAACTTATACGTTATTCTAGTACATAAAGTTAAATGGGATATTTAATAGCTTACAGTGCAAATCAGTAATATCTAATTCCTTTATCTAAATTGATAGCTGAGACAGAATATGTGATACATATATTAGCTTTAGATCGAGGAAACAATGAAGCTGAAAAAAGAAGTATTGAATTTAAGACACTTGACAGACCAGTAAGTTGTTACTTTACTTTGATATTTAATTAAAGAACAGTGAGTGCAGATTTTGTTAGGAATGTAACGAATTCAGTTGCCAAAGTACTTGGTATAAACGATTATTACATCCAGCAACAGAAATATTATTTTAAAAGATTGCTTTAGAACTCTTTTGGTGTAACTGTTGATGAGATTAAATCATACATTGATTTAGAATTAGCAGCTATTCCAGATAGTGACAGTTTTCCAGATCCATTTGAAGTAGTTGCTGGATTACAAAATAAAACTTAATTACTTACATCAAGAATCGAGACTTTAAATTTAAGTAAGGAAGTAGCAGTTTAGAAATTCACACGATATGTTCCTAGATTTATTAAATAGCCTAAAATAGTGTATATTGATTATTAACAATGTGCAATTCAATTAGCTATTAGCAATTATGGATGGGGTTTTGCTGTAGCAGTGGTTTTTGAGTCATAAGATTAAATTTGGCCATCACCTTATTAAATAATGAAAGGATTAGATTATTAGAATAGGCCAACACCTAATGGAGAGATAGAGATTTCAGATCCTTATCAGGATTTCATTTTAAGAATACATGGATTAGAGAGTGAAACAGATTATTATATCTATGTAATAGGGGGGTCAGTTCGTAATTGAATTCATTAATATTATTAGATTTCCGAGCTCCAGATTTGATGGATAAATCAGAGATATATTAGGATAGAATAATCTCATTTAAATCTCCGTAGAAGCCTAAGTTAAACATCAACTTTGGAGATTTGATAGTGTTGAGCATATTGATTTTTTGGTTTTGAGTACATATATAAGTTATGATTTATATCATAGATATTTTTGATTAATTTAAATATGCTCATATCTGGAATGCAATTGAGGCATTCGTTGACTCCTCGTTTCTTTGCAGGAGTGTTCAACAAACGTAAGCCAACAAAGAAGGACTTAGATCATTATGATGTAGTGGTCATTGGTTGTAATTTAGGAGGAGTTTTGAGTAGACAACTTGATAAGGTAGATTTGTAATATTATTTTGGAATAGGTTTCTCATGGAAAATATAAGATTATGGTTGTACTTGATTAGAATATTAATCAAATAACTCCAATCAGATAGATTTATGAATAATAGAAGACAGCTAAGACAGATTTTTTACTTAATGCCAAATTGTCACTTAATATGTTCACTGCTCATTCTGATTAAGTTGGATGTTCTACAATTTTACCTGAAGAAAATGCCATTGTTTTGCGTAATGGTCGTAGAATTGGCTATAATTAATTGGTTGTAGCAATGGGTAGAATTATTAATATATTCCTATAGGTCAGCAAGTCAATTATGAAGCTATTAAAGGATTCGAAGATGCATGGTAAGATTTTGATTCACCAGTCTTTACTAATCTTGATCATCCAAGTTGGCGTTCTTCTAATCACAAATACACTAGATGGCATTACAATTTTAACCACGGAGAAGCATATTTCTGTATTCCTCAATTTCCTTTCAGTGGTGAGGTTGAAGCATATAACTTTTTCTTAAGTTAAAGAATATGGGAATGGTAAACAGCTAATGGACGTTAATCTCCTATTAAAAAATTCACTATCATATAACCAAATGAAAGATTTGTTTAATACAATGATGCTGGAGATTCTTTCTTTAAAGAAGAATTAAAACGCAGAAATATCAACGTTGAATATGGACTTAAATTGGTTGAAGTTAATAAATAATACAACACAGCTACTTTTGAAGATGTCAAGACTGGTAATCGGTAAACTAGAAATTTCAATCATCTCTATGCAGTTGCTCCTACTAAAGCTCATGAACCTCTTGTTAAGGCTGGTTTAACTACATCAAAAGGATTATTGGACGTCAATATTAAGACTTTGTAGCATAATAAATATAAAAATATTTTTGGACTTGGTGATGTTAATGATCTTCCAACAACTAATTGTTTCTGGGCTGGATTCCACTAACTTCATGTTGTTAGAAATAATATCGAAAGAAATATTGCTGGAAAATCCCTTAATGCTGAATATGATGGATATAGCAAAGTTCCTATAATTTTGGGTTAAAATACACTTACATTTTTATGTCATAAATACAATAATGAAAACGCATGGCATAACCTTTATTTCTCTAATGGAGGATTTTTAGCTGCTTTAAGGTAAATGATATAGTATATGAAAGATATTATAATTGGTGCAAGAATTTTAAGAAAGCCTTCATTGACATTTACTTAGAAAAGAATTGGGGACCTCCTTATTACAAAATAAAGAAGAGTTTCAAATTGCCAGAAGGAGAAACTGATGAGCATGGTTTTATGTCAAAATTATCAAAATTGTTACCTGGCAAAAAAGAAAGTCATTGAAATAAATAAATAATATAAAAAAAATAATAATGATCAAATAATTAGCATAGAAGGTGATGCAATTATAGCTTTAACGTTTTTATGAATTTAATCGATTTGCAGATAAATTATAAAAGAAACAATAAGACACTTAGAGACAGGAGTTTAAGAAGGAATTAGAATTTCTTGCTAGCAAAGTAAATTCACAAATGCACATAGCCACAATTTACATTAATAGATTTTAGATAAAGAGCATTGGATGGATTGCATAAATTAAAAAAGGGATTCAAGTATCAAATATCTTCAGGAAATGAGGAGACAGAATAGCAATTGACATTATAAAAATAAGTATTAAATGCGATGTTTGATGAAGAATTATTGAATCCAGAGGATTTATCTGGTGATGTATGTGTAATGTAATAAAAAAAAGTAAAAAAAAGAGATAGCAATGGTTGCTTAAGTAGAAGTACAATAAGTGAATTTTGTATTGAGTCAATTTAGTCAGATGAAGAATATGCATTCATGGGTGAGAGATATGAAAGAGAGAGGAGAACCAATGCCTGATAATTAGGATGATATGATGTACAGATATAAGAGAGATAAGCCAATAAAGAAGTCTTTTATAAAATTTGATATGAAGAGATAAAATTTTTCAATGAAATAGAGATTATAAAAGTTGAAATGGGGTCCTCGTAAAGAGGTTTGATATAATAGATATGTGTACAAATATAAATAATTAAATATTGATGATTATGATATATTATAATTGATCATAATGTGAAAACTAACATGATAAAACTAGCCATTAATAAATGAGCATAAACTTTAGTGTCATTTTAGTAGTTCAAATCAGTAGTTACATTAGTTGTTTATCCATAGGCATACTAAAAAGAATAAAAAGTAAATGAATACCCCAGCATAAGGTTAGACGGATTAGAAGCAACGATTTTGGAGCATATGGAATCCATATTTGCAAATAGAGCATCCTGAAGAGGAAATTGGTTTATCATTGGTGATTGTAGAATTTAATTTAAGAGCACAATTAGCGTTATTAAGAGGTACACAACCTCCAGATTGGAATACATATCCATCAATACAAGTTAAGCAGACTTATCCTGGAGAGGTGCAAGTAGCACAACCAAATTAACAAGCAACACAAACAGCTTAAGCGGTTTTAGTACCTGAGTAAGGGAAGTAACCATCCATACAGGTTTTGCAAAACTAGAAATTAGATATGTAAATACAGTTGAATTATCGCATTATGCACAATTAGTTTAACAAGGTTGGCAGGTAGTTCCTGATAGATAGAATCCAGTATTGCATTTGGTACAATTAGTACTAGAAGAACATTCTAAACAACCACCATTTGGTGAACATGTTGCACAAGTGGCAGTAGAGGCTGCACTTGCTGCTTATAAGAAATATTTAGATGAACATCCAATGCATGAAATATCAGTAGTGGATGTACCACCACATTTATTACATTATGCAGATAATTATGTACTAGCTCCATATTATGGTGGACATGATAAACAAGTTCCACCTGTATATGAACTGAAAGTTCTAACACATGTAGCACAAACATTATTTGTATTTGTAGAAGTATTTGTCAAAGTTAAACATCCTTATATTTATACAGCAGCTATGCATGTTGGAGTTGTAATGTTGTTTACTGTAATACTTACTAAGAAATATCCATCTACACATTATGTAACTTAAACTGTTGTGTAAGATGGAACATCATTTGGACCTCCACATCTTAACCATCCTGTTGATTATGGAACTGAATTACAAGCTGCACAAGTAACTACTTTATTTGCACCATCACCAGTACTTACTCCATAATAGAATTCTTAACATTTTGTGCATGTTACTGTTGTATTACTTATTGTGCATGTTGCACAACCTGTTCCACATGGAGTGCAAGTCTTTGGAGTTTAAGAATTTAAAACATATGTACTGATACATGCTGTACAATTCTAATTATTATCCATTTAAGTGCATCCTTCTGGCAATTTTTAACATGTTGTTGAACCAATTAATTAATATCCACTTGCACAAACTGAACATGTTGTACCATTTGAACATTTCATACATGTAGTACTTGGTAAACATGTTTGACAAGTCTATCAAATATTATTATCTAATTATCTTACTGATACTCCATTCACTGTATTCAGGTAGTATCCATCAGCACATTAACTGCATGTTTAACTATTTTTACAATTTGTACAAAAGTCTACACATTTTTGGCATGTTCCAGATCCATCTGTTTATGATCCTGATGTTAAACCACTGAATGACCAAAAGAAACCAGCTGCACATTATGTACAAGTATTTCTAACATCTTAATTTTTATATATACTTTGATGGACAATTTTAACATGCAGTGATACCACATGGACTACAAAAACCATCAAAAAAATTGTAGTAGTAGTCTGAAGATGTTGATATTGCAGGAACATAATCCCAATCCAAATAATATCCAGCAGCACATTAAGTACATACATATCGAGTACTACTATAAACTGTACAGGCTTAATTCTCAACACATACTCCTGCTATCAAACTAAAACCTTTATCACATTGGCCACAAACATAAGCATTTCCTGAGGAGTTTAGTGAATAACTCAAACATCCATTTGGCATATTTACACATATACTAAATTTATATTAAAATTATCTACCCATTAAGCTAAGTCCATCCTGGACTACAAGTTAAAGACCCTGTTGAATAATAATCTGAGCACTTATAAAATCCTCCTTCTATTGGTTGACATGGTTAGCATGATTGCCCAGCCCAATAGTAACCTTTTATTTAATATAGAATAATACCATCCATGCATACATATGCTTGACGAGTTGATTATGAAACTTTTAAAGCACCAGTAGCTAAACAACTTAAAAATGTGCAATCCAAAGGTGGTGATTATTGTCCCAAAACTCCTATCACCAGAATTGAGGCAATGAGTACTTTATTCATTTTTATTAAAAAAATTATTAATCAAGATATATTTCAATCATTCCCTTAAAAAACTCCAATTATTCCATCCCCCATCTCCTTCAACTTGTACTTCTAAAACCATTTCATAACACAATTCATTAATTACATTTCTTACTTTTCTTGTACCATAATTCTCTTAAATTCTTATTCTCTTCTTACAAATTCTTTTATTTCACTTTATTACCCTATATTTATCTTCTGACTATTCTAATCAATAATTTTTATACATAAATTTGACTATCCAAATCCTTAAAACATTTATTTATTATCCATATAATTATTTATCACACCTTTATTAAAGGAGAACTATCTTGCCATCTACTATTTCTTTATAAAAAACTCAGAACAAACAATTTTTTGTATTAACATAGAATTTTTCTCCAAAATATATATAATACAAAAATTTTAAATCACTACAAAATATTCGAGAAGTTAAACGACAACTTTTTATTGGACTTGTTGCAAATTAAAAAATCTAATTTTTTGGAAAAAAAAACAAATACAAGATGAAAATTATAAATTATCATTTTTTTGTATAAATGAATATTTAAAAATAATGTTATCTTTATAGACTCTTGATAATTAAATTTTTCATTATGCTCTTAATATTTTATAAATATTTTTATTTATTCTTGGTGTTCAAAATATAAAATAATAATAATCCATTATCAAAAATTTATTTTCTCAATTCGATTTTGATGAAAATTTTTAAATGAGTATGTTTATTTTTGATAAAAAATAGAAATTTTTACTTTTTTAATCTCCTTTTTAGCTAAAGCAGTAAAAAATAAAATCATATTAATTATGAAATATCAATGAAATATTTGAAATTTTTAAATAATATTGGTAGATAAAAATTACAAAAATGATACTATTATTTTTAAAAGAACAATAGAGCCTCTAAAAGAAGAATATATTTTTTAAAAATAATAGACTCTAAATACAAGTCCCTTTCTTACAATAATTTATTTTTTTAATAAGTTAAGAGTTTAATTAAAGTAAACATTATTTTATAATAATATAAAAAAATATTAAACTACCATAATCAGTCTTATTATCAGAGAAATTCAATTACCAATTAAGACAGAAATGTTAAAAATGTTATAATAAGAGCTAATTTGAGAGTATTATAATAATGTCAATTCAAATCTTCATATTTTTTTTTTTTTTATTTAAATGTTTTTTCTTGTCATATTCTCTCTAGTTTATGAAATTACTCGTTGTTAGCTATTGTATGCATATAAATAAAAACTTGTTTCTATGAAAAATTGGGTTAATAATCAAATAAAACATAAATTCTATAAAGTGAATTATATTCATTTTATGGAATATAAAAAAAATATAAGAATCTTTAAAGATATTAGTTCAAGACTATATAGTAGTGTATGAAAAGGGCTAAAAATTGTTAGACAGAAAAATATAGGCACTTTTATGAAGTTATGAGAGAATTTTTCATTTAAATATTTTTTTCATTGGAATATATCAGAAAGATTTTTGAATAATATTCATATATGTTTGGATTCTTAAATTTTTGAGGAATTAAATATGCATATTTTTCTATATTTCATCATAATAGCAGGAATTTTATAGATAGCAGCTGTAAATATCAATTAGCCAGGAAATTCAGACTTAAACTAGCTAGTTGAAGCTCCTTAAAATGCGTGTTAATAAGGCTATTTTTTTAATGAATAAATATGTAGTCAATGTTAATGGATTGAAAATGGATTTTGCACCTGTTCATAATAGGGGAAATGTGATCAAATAACATGTTTGTAAGGATATTTTTTGGTAGGAAGGTATTATTTAATTTAATATAATTAAGTTCATGTATAAAGCATCCTGATTCAAATTGTATAAAGGGAGGGTTTAATTCTAATGGAAGTACAGTGATTTGTTATTAATGTAGTAGTCAATCAACATTAATAGGTATATATATAAAAAAAATAATTAGGTGGAATTTGTATAGCCAATAATAATTGTTTATAATTTGATAGTTTAACTGGAATATGTAAATAATGTTAGAGTGGATATTTTATTTCTGTTAGTTAAGGATATTAGGATAATTCAGTATCAATGAGTACATATTATGTTTCTTTGAATCAATGTCAATAATGTATTTCAAACTGTCTAGAATGTTAAAACGAGTAAATAAATTAAATAATATAGATAATAATGCAAAGTATGTTCAAGTGGATATTTTGTTTAAGACACTTAATGTATTGAGTGTAAATAAAAGCTATCACATTGTTTAACATGTGAAACAGCCTCTCGATGCATATCTTGTGATGGTGGATTTTATTTAAATATAAATTAATGTTTAAATTGTTCATAATAGATAAATAATTGTTAAGATTGCTCTATAAATGAATCCAATTAATTGATTTGCTCAAGTTGTAAGGTTGGATCATTTTTAAGTAATAATTAATGTCCATTATGTTCAACATAGATTTAATATTGTTAATAATGTTAAAATTCGACAATATGTCAGGTTTGTTATAAAGGATTTTATTTAAGTTCAAATAGATGTAAGATGTGTTCTGCCTCAATTTAAAATTGTTTATTTTGTTCTGATTAAAATAATTGTTAGATATGTGGAGATGGTTATTATTTATAAGATAATATATGCATAAAATGTTCAATATCAATATAAAATTGTGGTACATGTAAGAATTCATAAAATTGTACAGGATGTTTATCTGGATATTATTTAGATTAGAATAACATTTGTTAAATATGTTCTGGATAAATAAATAATTGTAGTATATGTATAAATTCTTAAAAATGTGATAAGTGTATAAATGGATATTATTGGGATGGCACAAATTGTTCACCTTGTACAGATAAAAATTGTACAGAATGTTCTAATAATTAAAATTGTTCAACTTGTTTAATAGGATTTTCTACAGATGGATCTAAATGTTCTACATGTACTACAGTAGCATGTACAACATGTGGAGGATAAAGTTATTTATTAAATGGATAATGTTTAACATGTTCATTTGAAATGAATGGATGTTCTAAATGTGGATATGATGGAGATAGTTTAAAATGTTTTCAATGTTTAGCAGGATATGCAAAATCACTTCCAAATTAATAACCATGTTAATAAGATTCGGGTGCTAACTGTAATGTCAATTAATTTGCTTATGGAGATACATGTAAAAGTTGTAGTCAAGGAATAGCAAATTGTTTAGAATGTTCTTATTAAAATTAATAAATAGTTTGTAAAAAATGTAATGATGGTTATGATTTAGGTGGAACATGTGAACCATGTTAAAAATCATCATAATCATCAGGTTAAAGTACAGCATCTTCATCATCATCTGAATGTTAAAAATGTGCTTAAGGAACTTATTTTGATAATGGTTCATCTACTTGTAAAACATGTTCTTCTATTTAAAATTGTTCATCTTGTTCTGATGCTAATACATGTACTAATTGTATAATTGGTTATTATTGGAATAATACATAATGTGTCCTATGTGCTAAATCCATATTAAATTGTTATACATGTTCTGATAATTAAACTTGTACATCATGTGTACCTGGATTTATTTTAGATGGAAATTAATGTTATCCTTGTTCATATTTTATTTCAAATTGTTTAATATGTAAAACTAATGCACATTGTTTATAATGTGATTCAGGTAATTATCTTAATACAAATAATACTTGTTCAACTTGTGATGATTCTAATTGCATTAATTGTAATTAATCTTCCTCTTAATGTACATCTTGTGTATCTGGAACTTATTTAAATGGAACATAATGTAAACCTTGTTCCATTATTAATAAATGTATAGCATGTTTAAATAATTAAAAATGTACAGCTTGTTCATCTGGTACATTTTTAAAAAATGACTAATGCACACCTTGTGATGATTAAAATTGCATCAATTGCAATGATTCATCTTCTAATTGTACTAAATGTATAGCTGGCTATTATATAAATAATTAAACATGTTCTTAATGTTCAAATAGTTGTTCAACTTGTTTAAATAATACTTAATGCACTTCATGTAAATCTGGATACTATTTAAATGGAACCACTTGTACAAATTGTTCTAATACATTAACAAAATGTTTAAGTTGTATCAATGAATCCATTTGTACAAATTGTGATATTGGAAGCTATCTAGATGGAAATAGTTGTACCAATTGTCCAATTAGTCTCACTTCTTGTAATGCTTGCAAAAGTAATACAATTTGTATTTCATGTAATCCTGGAAGTTATCTTAATGGTTCTTAATGTAGCACATGTACTGATAAAAACTGTCTTAATTGTACTCAAGCCAATACATGTACATCTTGTGCTCCTACTTATATAGTATAAAATAATACTTGTATAAAATGTATTGGTTATTCTAATTAATGTACAGCTTGCTCTAATGGATACTGTAGTAGTTGCATCAATAATTATTTAATATAATCAGATGGATCTTGTCTTAAATGTCCTGATAATTGTGCTTAAGGATGCTCCAAAAATACACTTTAAAATTCTACTATTTGCTAAATTTGTTAAGATTAATATTATTTAAATATCAATGGATTATGTATTAAATGCCCAAATCTATTTTTAAGATGTATTTATGATACTCAAACTTAATTAATATATCCCACTTAATGTATAGATGGTTACTTTTTAGTTAATAAATCATGTATTCAAGCTTAATAATAAAATACATGTTCAAAACTATTTTAACCTAATGATGGTAATCAAATTAATTCCTCATTATGTTAAGATTGCTGGCCATCTTATTTATAAAACAGTTAAATTTGTTATAAATGTGATAATTGTGCAGATAATAGTTGTTCATTAGATTAAAATAATAACCCAGTTTGTAGTCTTTGTACTAATTTCTATTACAGTGATTCAAATTAAATTTGTCAAAAATGTATTACTAATTGTTATTTATGCACTGGCCCAGGAATTTAAAATTGTTAATAGTGTAATATTGGCTATTACAAAACTGCAAATCAATGCATTGCTTGTACTACAGACAATCATAATAATAGTACTTGTTTGAATTGTTTGGATGAAGTTACTTGCTCTATTTGTATTGATGGATACTATTAATCAAGTGGATAATGCTTATCATGTTAATATGGTTGTAGATAATGTGCATCACCAGGCAATGTTTGTATTGGTTGTATAAGTGGTTTCTATTTGTAAAATGGAGGTTGTGTTTAAGATTTAGGAAATTGCTTAGAAAATTAATAAAATGAAAATACTGGTTGTTCTGTATGTGCCTATGGTTTCTATCCTGTTAATGGTTGGTTATCACAATCAGGTTTATCATAAGTTATTGATAATTCTTGTTTATAATGTGTCTATCCTTAAGCAGCAGTATTTATTCGTTAATATTACTAAATTAGTTTGTTTGTAGAGCAAATCCATCCGAAAATTAAATTGCAAGTGCTTCTTTAGGATCTGTATCTTCAATTAAAAATACCAATTATTTCAAAGCAGCTCTCCCCTTAAGTTCCACAAGATTAACATCTCCATAATGCAAAATTGGATCTTTTTGGAGTGGATAAAGTTGTATGCCTTGTCCAAACGTTGATTATGGAATATGTGCAGTTTGTAATAACTTTACAATTTGTAATTAAATTTAATGTAATCCTTAATATTACTTAATTACATTAAAAAATTCTTAATAATGTGTATAAATACCTACAGGATGTTCTGAAATGTAGTTTTCTGATAAATTGATATCTATAGCATGTACTAAATGTAATTCAGGATATACTTTGATTGGTAATATATGCATTTCAATAAATGGATGTTTAACAATAGATTAGAATAATGGAGCATGCACTTAATGTACAAATGGTTATTATTTTAATTGGGATTTCTTTTTGTAAAATAATAAAATTTAATAGTCAACTAACACATATTATTATTAACATTTCAATCCTTTTTGTAGTAAATGTAATATAGGTTGTGCATTATGTCCATCATAATATACTTGTACATAATGTTTGCCTGGATATTTTTGGTATTAATCAACACTTACAACATATTAAAATTCTTTTAAGAATTATACAAATGTATAAACAAATGCTTCTGGCTAATGTATTGCATGTCCCAAGAATTGTTTGACTTGTTCAAGTGTAACAGTTTGTACTACTTGCAATACTAATTTTTAAATTGATCCTAATTCAACAAATGGTGATTGTATATGCATTTCACCATATACATATAATCAAAATGATTAAACATGTATTTAGTTGTCAACTGTAAATTCTTCTTGTTCTTTTATTGGATGTATATAGTGTAATTCTGATAATACTTAATGTTAAGCGTGTAGTCCTTAATATACTTTGGTAAGTCCAACTGTTTGCACTTAATGTTTGAATTGTAATTCATGTTCTACTTAGATTGGAACTTCAAATCCAACTTGTCTAGAATGTGCAGATGGATATTACAAAATTTAAGCATATGATGGTGCTCCAATTACTTGTTAACTATGTTCTTAATCTTTAAATAATTCTTTAAGATGTTAAGGTCTCTTAGAAAATTAAACTTAATTAACCATTATATAATGTACTGATAATTATTATTTATTTGGAAATGTCTGTTATTCAGTTGGAATATCAAATTGTTACACTATTGCCAATTCTAATATTCAATCTTGCCAATAATGTCTACCTGGATATATATTATATGGAAATATTTGCGATTAATGCAATAACAAAATTCAAAACTGTTTGACTTGTACTTAAAATTAAGATTAAAGTGGATTTATTTGTTAATCTTGTGTTGATGGTTATGTTTTAAATACTAATACAAATTAATGTTAATAATGTCCTAATGGTTGTTAAAATTGCTAAATTTCCAATACTATTGCTCCATATTCGCTTACTTGTAATACTTGTGCTAATGGAAATTATATTGATATTGATGGAAATTGTTTAGGGTGTCCTTTTTATTGCAAATCTTGTGATTCAAAATACGTAATATTTTATATATATTTATAGATATGTAAAACTTGTAATGATGGATATTATCTAATTTAATCTTCAATCAAAATCAATTCTAAATCCTATATATTTTAACCCTGTTATCCATGTTAAAATAATTGTGCTACTTGTACAGGACCTTATGGAAATATTTGTTTGACTTGTTAAATTGGTTTTGTTCTTTAAAGTGGAGGCTGTATTAATTTAACCTAAAAAATTTTAAATGATCCAACAACTTACAGTTTAGCTAATTGTTATACATCTGATTCTTCAGGTTGTACAGTATGTTTAGCTGGATTTTTCTTAGATTCATCACGAGTTTGTTAATAATGTGTTTCACCTTACTCTAATGTATTTAAGTGTCTTTATTTTATTAGTTTGTTTGTGGTTTGGAAGCAATCTCTCCAACCAATCCAACAATACCAAATAATTAATCAAGTGGTTAATATAATACAAGCAATAATACATAGACCATTATTGAAATAGGAATTAATCCAATTTAACCAAATAGTCTAAGTTAATTATTAGCAGCGTTCCTTATATTTATATATTAATGAGATATTTATACATATTCAAATAAACAACATGAATTTATTTTATTATTTATACTGTTAAATAATTCTAAAATAATTTATTTATGGATTAACTCCTACTAATTAAATCTTTAAAATTAAAACTGTTAATGTGAACATCAATAAAGTAATATAATATATTAAGACTGAATTCAAATAATCAATTACAATTACTAAAAAATGATTTTTCTTTAACAAATATTAATGAATCTCTTTACTCGATTCTTAACCCCTCATAACAATCAAAATTAAATTTAAAACTATTTTATAAGCAATACTAAGATAAAAAGAAATAAATATTTAAGCATTAATGTTTAAATTTCACGTAAAAGAGTTTTTTAGTTATCTTAAAAATTATGAGAAATTAATGATTAAAGAATTCAAAAATTAAAAATCTTTTCAGAATAAAACCTAAAAAGTTTTTTTTAGTATTAATTTTCTTAAAAACAATTTGATTATCAAATATTAAGAAATATTTGTTGGATCTGAATAATTTGGAAGAACAAGTTAATGCTAAATACTTTAAGCATTTATAGTTCAAAAATATCAAATAAAGAATTCATAATTTTATTACTGTTTTAAGATAATGTTATAATTGATAAAATAAATAAAATCATAAATTATTTTCACTTTATTTTTAATCTCTTTATTTTTTGAATAAATTATTAATATTAGTAAATTAATTAATTGAAGATTAAGTTGCTTATTAAATTAAATATATTAGGAAATGATAAGTAAAATTTTTTAATTTTTTCTTATATTACGAAACTATACAAAACTGACCCTTATAATTAGAATAGCCTCACTTAATTTTTCTTTCTAACCTTACTTATAAAAGTATGAGTCAAACTCAAGCTCAAAATAGGTTTTTTACACAATCTACTAAGCTATCAATACATTTTTTTATTTGATAGATCAGAAATAAACTTGATATATCCTATTTTTACATAATGAACAAACTTAGGAATCCTTTTAAAATATTTGGTAAATAATAGTAAGTACTTGTACTCAAAAGCATCTTTGGAAACTTTGCATTATCTACCGTAGTGCATAATTTAGATTCTTTTAGACATTAAGAAATATAAGAGATTTATTTGTATATTTGCACATAATTTACAATTAGTCGAAGTTATTATTTAAATTGTGTTCTAAAAATTAAAAAATTTTACATTTATTTGTATCAACAAAATTATCATGTGGAGAATAATTTTTACTTTTCTTACCATTGCTATCACAAAATTAAAATAATTTAGCATAATTAAGATAATAATTGCATAGAAATTAACATTATAGCTTATAGGATAAAAAAAGAGATATTTGAGAATTTGAAAGTTGAATTTAAAACTTTTCTCTGAAAAATCTAGTAACAAAAAATTTACCAAATAGTTTAATTTAAACATTTTATGCAACATAATGTTAAGCAGGGCAAACAATTTTTTTATCATAATTGTTATAAAAACTATCAGGTTTGATTCAAAAAATATTGCAAGTTCTTCAAACAATTTTTTTTAATAAGATGTGCAATATGCGTAATACACAGAAAAATGTTTTATATAAATAAAAATGAGTTGCTTGTAAGGTTGTGATAAAATAAAGAAAAATCAAAATGGTATCTATTTCAAACTCTTTCTACTTTAATATTAATTACCAAGGCATTAAAGACATAGTCCAATTAATGTATAAAATCTCCCTTATTAAAATAAATTTCATTGATGTATTTGGCAATTAATTTTAAAGAAAAACCTGGCAAGTTGTATCAGTTAAAATATATCCAGTTATAAAATTTTTCATTCTATTTTGAACAATAATTAATATATAATTCACATTTGTCATGGCTTTAACTATCTTTATAAAATTCTTCTGAGCAATTTGTGTGTATAATTACATCAAATGATATTGTTTTTAATAATA